TTTCTCTTAAAAGACAGTGTATACAGCAAACAGCCCACAGGGAGTTTTTATACTCACCAGAACAAATACATTAAGCTGTAATTGTTCTGGTGACTAGAGTGTCCCTTTAATACGACTTCCTACGAGGGTTGGGCGATGAGGCCTAACTAAATTATTTCCTTTCTGGGTAGCCAAAGCTCACTGCAGACAGCGATATTATTTTTTATCAGTGCGTTTATAATGGGCTAATAATTGTAACATTGGTGGGAAACACTATCAGGCTGACGCGGTTATCTCTTAATATCATGCTCTAGAAACAGCAGTCTTGAGAAAAATCAAGGAGGTAATCCGCTAAATGTGACGATACCGTCTGCAGAACTGCTAGCAACAGAAGTCAATGACATTCTAGAATCGTGTAATGGTGAGTTCTTCTGGATTCTTGTGTATCACTTACCTAAAAATAAAGGAGGTTGCTATTGAGCCTCCGAACTAGCCTTGTAATACTTGAGATAAGGTCTTAGAATGTAATTTGTTGTTTTGATGCGGGAGAACTCATTTTCCTATAAGATACTGGCTACTAGCCCTGCCTTAAAGTAGCCTTCGCCTCACATGTACAGCGCTGCAGAATTTGCCAACGCTATATAAATAATAAAATAATAAAAATAATAATGTACACAGGAAGCACTTTACTATTCGTGTAAATGATACAAACAGGCGTACATATATTCATGGGCATGGAAGTAACATGCGTTTTTCAAATACAACAAATGTGAAGAGCCCTGAGAACACACAACATACCCCCAAACACTCCTCTGTAAATTAAACTGTTAATAAAAGAGTGAAATCACCTAGAACATGTGTTCACCTTTTTACTTTTAAATTTTTTTAGCAATCAACATCACAACCCAATTGGTTCCTGGCACAGCATGGCACACAATGCATTGGAAGAGGAGAACCAGATACAATGTTTCCCTTCCTCCTCCTCTCTGCATGCTTTCTCTGTGCCAACTCACAAGCGCAATTGGCACAGCTTATAACAATGGAGGATTTAAAAGCACTTGTGCATCAGCACAGCTCAGCAATAGGTTGCTGTGAGCGAGTGGGTTGTAGTATCTGCCTACACACACGTATTGGAACTAATTTTTAGTAATTTATTCCGATGACCGAGAGTAAAGGGACTATACGGTGGTGGTGGTTTTGAAGTCAGACTGGAGCAACAGTTGTGATACAAACCTTTCCATTTTTATTACAAAATCTGTGTTAAATAAATAAAAATAATCATTTTTAGAGAACATTTTTCTTTAGCAAAAAACAGATGGTTTTGGCGTTTAATTATATTTTTGTTATATAATATTGGCATATTTGTTTCCCCTTTTTTCTAGCCAGCACTTTCAATTATAGCGATTTACAGAAATACAACAAACCATCGTGCCAGCCAGGGTAAGTACAAATCGCAAAACATGTCAACGATTCAGAAAACTGTAACACTTCTGTCTACTCGCCATTAAGATATTAGCAACATCAATTTTGTCCATATTTGGATGGCAGAGATAGAATGAGAGCATCACACTAATTGTCATCATCACAGGTTTATTCACTAAAGGGGGAATTGTTGGGAAAAAGTAGCTGAATTAGAAAAATCCCCCCCCAGTCATTTGTGATTCCAGTTCAGCTACTTTGGCCTTAAATTTTTAATTCCCTTTGAAATCCTGACTCTTCTCACTTTAGTGAATAAAACTGTGAGTCAATTGTCAATTGTCAAAATGTGCACCTAATTAATATTGTTAATGTGGAAAGCGGTATCAGTTTGCCTTAATTTGTTTTGGTCAAACCTCTCATATATAGGTTGATGTCTGAACTGAAGTTCCCTTATAGGGAAATGTAGCTCAAACAGCTGCAAGATCATCAGTGGTCTAGAACAGTGGTCCTCAACCCTATCTTCAGGCTTTATGTATTTCTCTTTTTTATTCCAATGGAGATACTGAAAAAACCTGGACTGTTGGTGGCCCAGGAGCACTGGGTTGGGTAACACTGGTCTAGAATTATCTTCATGGCAGTTTAAAGGGACTCTATAGCATACCTCCCAACTTCTCCACTCCACTAATCAGGACACATAGGTGGATTCCTGAGGGGGGTCGCTAGAGACGCCCACTATGGATGAGCCACCAACTGTCAGACAGGCTGACCGATCCCTAGCTATCAGGACAATGCAGGGAGCACAGCTGAAGCCCTCTTTCAATGGTCCTAATGCCCACTGCACTGTGCGAGCGCGTCTAATGGCGCTGTTCTGGCTGGGGACTGTTCCATGGCGTTCCCAGATGTGGGACACCAGGGAACTAAAGCATGATGGTGGGACAGCACCACAAAATCGGGGGTGTTCCACCAAAAGCGGGACTGTTGGGATGCATGCTATAGTCACCGAAACCACTTCAACTTAATGAGGGACAGGGAGCAGGTTGAGCAATGTAAATTGCCTTTTTTGATAGAAGTCAATGTTTACATTGCTGCCTAAGGCGACCTCTAGTGGCTGTCACTCTGACTGCCACAAGAGGGACTTCCTGAGTTCGGTCCTGCAAATATTGCAAGAGTGACGTTCAGCATTTCCACGTTCTCTTCACAAAGACGCTGAACGCTCTTCAGAGAAATACATTGCTATTGCATGCGTTCCTCTAATAGATTGCAGCCATGGAGTTTCCTCCCTCACACATGGGATCTTCTGGAGTGCAATGACATATCCATCATTGGCACCAGTTGAGAGAAACTTGTATCAACTTTGGTTAAAGTCAATGCGGTCTCAACTCATTAGTGCTGTGAGAGCAATATTTTTATCTTAAATAATTACACTTTTATTAAAGTGACTTTCCACATCTTTAAATGGACCCTATAGTCATCCGAACAACTACAACTTATTGTATTTTTTCTGGTGAGTAGAATCATTACCTTCAGGCTTTTTGCAGTAAACACTCTATTTTCAGTGATTACATTGCAGCCTAGAGATAACTCCACTGGCCACTCCTCAGATGGCTGCTAGAGGTACTTCCTGGGGCAGTGCTGCACAGTGTGACTGACATTCAGTGTCTCCACCCTCTGCATGCAGACACTGAACTTTCCTCATAGAGATGCATTGATTCAATTTGTCGCTATAAGGCGATGCTGATTGGCCAGGGCTATGCTGGACTTGTGCTGGCTCTGTCTCTGATCTGCCTCCTTGACAGCCTCAGCCAATCTTATGGGGAAGCATTGTATTGGCTCAGACAACCACTTCTGATGATGTCAGCAGACAAAGGCAGAGGCAGCAGCTTTAGACTTGAATACAAATAAGAATTTACTATATTTAGAGAGGCCAGAAGGGGGCAGGGGGGCTTGATGGTGGTTTTAACACTATAGGGAATAGGTTTGTGCTCCATATAAAAAGTTAATCTTAATGTTAAGTATTGATTTAATTAAAATATGTTAATTAAAAATGCTTGTGTCCACCTGTTGCACAGCATTGCAGAATATGTTGGAGCGTTATAAATACAAATTATAATAAGAAATATTTTTATTTCAGACCTTCCAATCTTCATATGAACTGGCCCTTCTCATCACCATCACTACTTACAACACACAATATTCACAAAGATGAAGAATTACTTTGCACAGCCAAAGAAGCTCAGGAGAAGACCTCTTAGGGATGTCTCTCACCTGCCATCTGTTCTGCAATGTACACATGGACAAAAAAAAACTGGTCAAAGACACAGACCCAGGGCCAGAGTTCAGGATCACCAGACGGGACCATTATTGAAGAAATATCTTATGATCTAATACTGTTGTGAATACTGTGAATACTGTAAAGAGGTTTGCGGAATGTTTTGTGGGAGACAAATTGTAATAAAGTGAAGGAAGAGTACCTTTAACCAAACTGAGGATACTGATGGATTTTAGCCAAAACGATTGCTGTTACGTGTACCACTGGATCGTACGCATCTGAGCCTTTTTGTTGGAGCTGTGATTCAAGACACGTTACTTTCAAGCCCTGTTTTTTTGTAGGAAACAGTGTCAACACTCACAGCTAAACATGAGACAAACCTTGCTGTGTGAGTCCTTGCCAATCCATAGCACTAAACCATGTGTTGCTACACGCCATTGAAGCTGCCATGACACTGCCCTTTGACATCACTTGAAGCAAGGTTTGGCCCAATAGGGACCACCTCCAGTAAGTCAGGCCGAGACCAAGTCACAGCATTGATTTCTCATTAGCTTTTAACTCACCGCTTAACGAGTGCACATGATATGATCACTTTAACATGTTGCAGATACTATGACGTAAAAGAAAACAACCCGCACAAAATGGCAACTTTTTAAAATGTTTTTTTTATAGCTCGAACGGTCATTTTTGATTTTTCTTGTACAGTTTAGAATGATTCACAAACCATTCTCATTGTGGAAAGAGTTTTCATATCGATATCGGAGATCTTTTGCTTTTTAGACCAGGAATTGTCCTGCATTTTCAAACTTTGCACTAATGTCTAAGATGGAGTCGTCAATCTTTGGACAGACAGACTGACTGATGGTTCTCCAGTGAAAAGACAGACACATTCAGCATGCTAACCATCTTCATGTCTGTTTATTATTTCATCTTTCAATGAAAGATCTGTTTCGATTTGCTGTAAATAAAAAAAAAAATGTTAAAAAAAAAAATCAACTCATATATAAGCCATTTTAAAACCATAATATATTAAATATAATATTAATTAACTTTTCAGGGATATTCCAGTGCTATGTTTTATATACGAGCTGCAAATGTGACTCTTTACCAGTAGTTACTGTATAAAATAGACATAACCACAAAGCAGACCACGGTTCGAGTGATACGGACCCAGCGATGGTTTTCACTTGTAAGTCTTTCAAAGCATCATGGGAGCTGTAGTTCACCAACAGATAGGAATCGTTCTCTTGGAAACCCCTGATCTAAAAACATGGATTTACAATCTTTATACTACAAATGTTGGTGGAGTACATTTCCCATAATTCTCTGTCTGATCGAGCATTATGGAATATGGATCCAAACATTCCAAGATAGAACATTCCCTATAAAATCCTATTTCAGTATAAACAAAGAGTAAGCTGGTTTATTTTAAGAAGTTCTGTGAGATGTTGGGAGTTTCTTTGGAGAGCTATAGTACCAGTTTGTCTATTTTGGTGTAGCATTTGCAATTCCCTTGTCCTGTCAGCAAACTTTCCAATTTAGTGAATAAACATTTGTACGATTAATTGTTGGATATTCTAAAAAGCTATACAGTTATTTATTAACTTAAAGGAGCACTATAGAGTCAGGAACACAAACATGTAGGGTTAAAACCACCATCTAGCCACCCTGTCCCCCTCATGCCTCCCTAAAAATAGTAAAATCTTACTGTATTCAAGCCTGAAGCTGTAGATCTGCTTGCTGTTTGCCTCAGAAAAACAAGCTGTCTGCTGCCATCATCAGTAGTGGTGGCCTGATCCAATCACAGTGCTTCCGCATAGGATTGGCTGAGACTGACAAGGAGGCAGATCAGGGGCAGAGCCAGCATGATTCAAACACAGCCCTGGCCAATCAGCATCTCCTTATAGAGATGAATTGACTCTATGAATCTCTATGAGGAAAGTTCAGTGTCTGCATGCAGAGGGAGGAGATACTGAATGTTCGGATGCATTTTAGGCAGTCATGACCCAGGAAGGATCTCTAACAGCCATCTGAGGAGTGGCCAGTGGAGTTATCACTAGGCTGTAATGTAAACAATGCATTTTCTCAGAAAAGACAGTGTTTACAGCAAAAAGCCTGAATGTAATGATTCTACTCACCAGAACAAATTCAATAAGCTGTAGTTGTTCGGGTGACTATAGTGTCCCTTTAACTTCAAATTGTGGCGAACAGAAAATCCACTTTTAAAGTAAGGTCAGGCTAAAATAGCCGAGCTGTGACGAGAGATGAGAGTGGGATTTTTCAAAATCCGCTATTATGGTCTAACTTTTGCAGCTTGGTTTTCAATTAACCATACATTGCTGTTAAGTAAATTCATTTCTGAGTGCATTCTGACTCCCATACTCATGCAGGCCAAGTTGCAAGCAGAGAAATATCCCAGTATTTCATCGAGCTGAGCTTCCGTTGACTTGTAAATCACGTTGATTGACGGAAAATGGCGTCTCGGAAATACCTCTTAGAAATACAGGGAGGATTTTATTGCCACCAGGCTACATTGAGGGGTCAGTGATGAAAACTGCAATGGCACACTAAAAAAAAAAAAAAAGTGTTTTTTTTTCCTACTCCTTTTTAACACTGCATTGAGAGTATGAATAACTAAAGGGATATTTGCTCCTTTTTTCTCATTTCTTAGAGTTAAATAGTTCGTGCAGGGCAGTGTGGACATTCTGTGATACCTTAACATGCAGGACTGATAAAGAAGCTATCCTGCCTTACATGGAATCTCCCACCTTGACTTTCCAAAGAATTCTGGGAATTATAGACGTTTGCAGTTGGATACCCCTGCCTTGGGCCAGCTTTGGTTCTAAAGCCCACCTATACTTTCATAAGACCCTCAGAGTAATTCAAACTCTACTCCAAGGTTGGCAAAAATGTAGATCCCTAGCTATATGATAATATCCCAACCTTAAGGCCTGCAAGCCATCATGGGAGTTGTAGTTCTAGCTGACTTTATTATATGGGCATCATTACACTACAGTCAGCTCCTTCCCACCATGCCATCTACCCAAAAATCACATGCTGTGCCTAGGGCTGACATAGTTTTGCCAGATCTAAAATGCATGATGTCATGCGCAGCAGCTCTGTAAACCTACGGATTATCATGGCTTCCTGGAATAAAGGATATTAATTAATAACTGATTTTTATTATTACAAATAAATGGCTTTAGAATCAAATCCATAACACAGGACAGAGGTCTCTGTCTGGTGAATGCAGACGCAGGTGGGGTCCCTTTAAGCATCCAGGCCTTTCGCTATGTCTCTTAATGCTTAAATAACTTGTGCTTTTGAAGTGTTGCTTCATCGCAAGGTACCAGCATTAAAACCCTTCCTGGAACTAGTACGGCGAGTAATTCATTTTAATAAGGATTGTTTAAATGTGCTCGCTTGGAACATGCCTCTAAGCAAGCACAGTAACTTGGCGACGGGATTGTAAATCAATATAAAAGGTGTTATCTTTCCTGAAGACGGGCAGACAAACTGTATCTCACTGCCACATGATGCCATAGACAACACGGCTCTGAAAGCGCTCATTCATTCTTTAAAACTGCTTGCTCTGCATCACGGCCGCACAGAGCAGAGGATTTATAAAAAGCTGTGTTGGCAGAGCTGTTCCATGAGCGAACCTCTAATCTCTGCATTTTCTACATCCGTGAGTGACACTCGCAGTGCCCAGCAGCATCCAGTGAGTGTTGGTCCTCACTCCATGAGTTCCAGGTAAAAATGTCTGAGAGACATATTTCTCAGACCGTATCGCTGAAAGGGGGTTTATTCACTGAACACTGAATTGTCGCAAACTAATTGCTAAATAGCTAAACTGTAACTATGGCAGAGTTGTGGAATTTTTACAAACTAGCAATTATTGCCCAGCTTTCACAATTTGGTTTTCAATTCAATGTTTAGTGAATACAATTCATTGATAATGTAAATCAATTAGTTACAGTGGTGACATTTAAAAAAAAAGAAAAAAGGTTTGGTTTATATGAAAAAAAGCGATTTTTCTTAACACAGCATGATTCTATTATTTGCATTTAATCACTCCTTTGATGGCAGGTATTTTGAAAGTTTGTATAACTGTTAGCATACTTTTCATACTGTCGGACTGTGTCTTGTGTTAAATGGATGGGAATGTAAAATAATGGCATAAAAATTAATTTCATAACGAGTTATGTATTATATCTGCTAATTAACTGGTGATTTAGTCAAGATTAATAGAATAGGATTTTTTTAGTAAACTGAGAACTTTTAAGAATTGCAAATTTTATGCAAAAAGGAAAATTTTTCAACTTTGCTATTTTAAGAATTCAGCTATTTAGGCCTGGGCAATTCTCAAAAATGTGCAATGTTCTAAAATTCACAGTTTACTGAATAAACCCATAAATTGATGTAATTAAGAGAAGTTATGGTGAGCATATACAGGATTATTTACTAACGTACACGACACATTAAAGGCAAAATCTCAGAATTGACTGTAACGATAGATTAAGGGAAGCTGCTGTATTTGTGTAAATGTTTTGATGTTAACCTATAACGTGTGTTGACAAACGCCCGTGCAGCGAGCCAATGCAGTCAGTGTTGTCCAGAGAAAGGACAGTGTTTATATTACTACCTAGGGACATCTCCATTGGCAGCCACTCAGACGGCCCCTAGAGCTGCTTCCTGGTGCAGCACTGACGTTCAGTGTCTCCATGCTTTGAGTCAATGCATCTCTATGAGGAGATGCTGATGGCCGTAGCGTGCCATTTTGCCGCGTATGCATGAGAGCCTCCCAATGCTTTCTATGGGAAATCATTGGATTGGCTCAAGGGGCGGAACGTGGGCCTGGCCAGCTGGGACTGTACCCATGTGGTGCTGGAAAAAGATGAGTAAAATCACCTTATTTAACCAGAGGTAAGGGGGGCTGGTAACACAGAACCCAGACGGGTATATTAGACCTATAGCGTCAGGAATACATGATTGTATTCCTTACACCATAGTGCTCCTATAAACTACAATCAATGTGTTTAGAAACCAGTGTGTGCAAATAAGATACATTGTTCTTGTTCTAAATTACATCTTGTTATTAGTAAGTCACCTAAAATGAGTCAGAACAAATTAAAGGGTATTATTTTATCTGTTTCAAATATTCTTGCTTTTCAATGTATTTCTTCTAAGTTACTGTTTTTTGCACATATTTTCTACTTGGCCACAATACTATAATAATTTTACTCTATAAAAACATTATTGCAAGTTCTCTTTTCCTTTTCCAAGTGGTCAATAAAGCATTGAAATATTAAGTCCTCTCTGCTAAACCCTGAGACATGCTGAGTCCACTGAAAACTTATTTTTTTTGCATTAGAATGGTCTAAGTACACCTGCAAGCCTCATGTAGTTCTAATCCCCACATCATGGGTCTTTTCTAAATCCAAGCTTTCTGACAGCTTTAGCCATAGCACTAATCATTGGAGCATACCTGCCAAGTGTCCTGATTTACAAGTTGCAGTCCCACTTTCCCTGTGGCACAGTGTATACCAGCCTTCCATATATTTTCTATATATTGTAGTTATTTTAATATTTGAGAAAGTAATTAAAATACTATGTTTATTTTAACTCCTTCATTGCCAAGGGACTAAATGGTTAGCCTTTTCATTGCCGACCCCCTTTTGGCAGCGTGGAACAATCCATACACAATCTCCATCACGGGTATTTAGAATACTTTGGAATATACCAAGCGGTGGGCGGGGGTGAGCTGCGCTGGACTCTGTATTATCACACAAGAATTTGCCAGGGAGACAGGTGCATTGGGTGGTTTCACTGGGGGGCGGGGCCTACGTTGTGATTGGTTGGTATGCTGTGGGCGGTGATAGTGGTAAGGCGAGGTGTGGGCGGTGACTTTCCGTGCATGCCCCAGTAATAAAGCGGTAGAGGGCGTTCCTTCTCCTGTCAGTCAGGCCGGGGGGCGTGGCTCCGTGCTCCTGGCTGCTGCTGGGGATGGAGCCGGTGCAGAGCGCTCAGTGTCTGGGAGCCGGGAGGGCAGCGTGCAGCGCCCCCTGCAGGACAAGGTCAGTACTACACCGGGAGATAGGGGGACAGGGCAAGCTATGGGGGAGTGTGAGTGACCTAACTATGTATGGGAGAGTGTGAGTGACCCAACAATGTATGGGGGAGTGTGAGTGACCTAACAATGTATGGGGGAGTGTGAGTGACCTAACTATGAATGGGAGAGTGTGAGTGACCCAACAATGTATGGGGGAGTGTGAGTGACCTAACAATGTATGGGGGAGTGTGAGTGACCTAACAATGTATGGGGGAGTGTGAGTGACCTAACAATGTATGGGGGAGTGTGAGTGACCCAACAATGTATGGGGGAGTGTGAGTGACACTGAGTAAGTGAGTGACCTAACAATGTATGGGGGAGTGTGAGTGACACTGAGTGTGTGAGTGACCTAACAATGTATGGGGGAGTGTGAGTGACCTAACTATGTATGGGGGAGTGTGAGTGACACTGAGTGAGTGAGTGACCTAACAATGTATGGGGGAGTGTGAGTGACCTAGCAATGTATGGGGGAGTGTGAGTGACACTGAGTGTGTGAGTGACCTAACTATGTATGGGGGAGTGTGAGTGACACTGAGTGAGTGAGTGACCTACCATGGACCTGAGTGACACTGAGTGAGTGACACTGAGTGAGTGAGTGACCTACCATGGACCTGAGTGACACTGAGTGAGTGACACTGAGTGAGTGACCTACCATGGACCTGTGTGACACTGAGTGAGTGACACTGAGTGAGTGACCTAACATGGACCCGAGTGACACTGAGTGAGTGAGTGACCTACCATGGACCTGAGTGACACTGTGAGTGAGTGATAATGTAAATGAGTGACTTAACATAGACCTTAGTGACACTGTGAGTGAAGTATGTGACATAGAACTGAGTGAGTGTATTATGTGATATACAGCTGGGTGTGTATAACATGCAGTCAGTATGTGCAATAGGCAATCACTGTGTATAATAGAGAGGCACAGTGCATACCTCCTAAGTGTCCCTATTTAGGATGGACAGTCTGTATTTGAAGCCGAAATCCCTCCATCTCTCTTTCTGTCCTAATGTCCCTCTTTTCTAGGAGCTCCATATTGTTGGTGTGACTGAGTGTATAACAGAGCTCCACAGCAATAATACTCCCAGTAATGTGTCTGTGTATAACAGAGCTCCACAGCAATAATACTCCTAGTAATTTGTCTGAGTGTATAACAGAGCTCCACGGCAATAATACTCCCAGTAATGTGTCTGTGTATAACAGACTGATCTAGAACAGCATTTCCCAGTTGATGTTCTGCGGAACCCTGGGGTTCCGCGAGAACACAAATGGGGTTCCGCCCAAATTTCAGGAAACAAAATTGCCGCCACGATAATTGAGGCAGTCGGCAAGGGAGCAGTGACCCACGATTTTTATACACTATGTCAAAGGGTTCCACGGGAAAAAATAATTGGGAACCCCTGATCTAGAAGAATCTGCCATGTCTGTCGGGGTTATTCTGTACAATTAGAATTAGTTGGAATTCAAAGTAAAATTTAAATCAAATGTAGATAAGATGGACAAAGTCTCCAAGCCAGCTATTTTTCCAGTTAAGCTACTTTGGCATTAAGGGAACACTCAACACACCTCACACCTAAAGCACTCTATCTAGCTGAAGACCATATGATATTTTTTTCATTTTACAAAAAGTGTAGATTTCAATAGAAATTGACACTTTTATAAATTAATTGTGCCACACCCTCCTGGCTGTCAGTCAGACAGCTGGTCCTGATACTTCCTGGTTTGGTTAACTCAGTGGAGCTAAGTTCCAGATGCAGCAATTGCCCAGAGCACCTGCCTTGCAAGGACTTCTCATTGAGCTGCATTTGGAAGTCTGTGATTGGACAGTCACAGAAAGTCTGGGTGGGGTTAGAAGGGGAGGGCTTCAAAGGCTGCAGACAAGAGATCTGCTCAAGCTGCTTTTAGATATTCCCACAATGAAAAAAATACATAATTAGCACAGCTACAGAATTAAAAGGCCATCATGGTGGAACATTTCCTTAAGGGGTTTAATGCACGAATGCTTTCATTTGGATTCTATCTGCTAAATAGTGATTTTATTTCCTTTATTGTATTTGTGCAGTGGAGTTTCGCTTTTCATTACCATTCATTTTCAATTCCCAATAATTCAGACTTTAGTAAATAATCATGTTGAGTGGTTTTGAAACAGACCCACAACTACGAAAGCTACCTGTCTAGAAATCCAGAACTTGCCGCAGCTCGCTATCATTTAAACACTACTCCATTGAGCAGCCATATAGTCCTAACTTATATTTAGCACCAGGTGATCTCCGACACTGCTGCTAACCGGACCTAATAAAAACAACTGCCCCCACTTGTTAAACATGTTTTGTTTTACCCATTGTACAGCGCTGCGGAATATGTCGGCACTATACAAATAATTGTAATTCTGTGTATTCCAGAACACTGTCGGTACTCAGAATAAGACTTGACAGTTTTCTAGCAGTCGCGTCTGTTTACTAATCTGTTAGAATTTCATATATAAAATGCATAGATTGGTCCTCTGGCTTATTTCCAGATATGTCTGTATGGTATGTTCGTTTGTGCAGAAATATCCCAACCCTGACGTAGACGTAGTTTGTAACACTGAATGCTGCCGGCTACCTGAGCAGGTATCAGGTGTACAGGATACTGTTTTACATTAGGGGAGGTGCCTTTTACTCACCGCAGATCATATAACCTCTAGGTAAAGCAAACAGTACATGGAATCTGGAAGTTAAGTCAGTGAGAATGTGCCGTTGACACTGGCGGACGGAGTTTGCCGGTCAGAGGACATCAATGGAAAGCAACCAACTCTGGAAGCTGATCTTCGGGCCAATTCAGTAGAAGGCTACCCATGACCTGGCATGCTCTGGAAACCTCTGGATATTGTGGGCATCAAAGCCTGGACCCTGGGTGAGATATTTACACATTTATCAAGTCAAGGCCAAGTAAGGGAGCTTTGACGTATCTTGCCTTTACTTGGAGTTGAAACATAAGAGTTTCAGCAATGGGCTGAGCTTAATAACTCATTGCTCCTCACACCAGCACACCATTGACCCAACAATGGTCTGGGATTTTTGGAATTACCTTACTTGTGTTTCCACTGGAATTTAAAAAAAATCCTGGACTATTGATGTCGTAAGAAGCATGACCAATAATTAATCAATATGTACGGACAAATCCCTTTGCCCGTTCTAGAGATGTACTAGGTGTGTTCTGGCATCATTTATAGCATATCTTAACTTCATCTCTCCCGGTAGGAATGCCACATCCACCATGTTTTCGTGACATACAGGTCTTCTAAATGAGATTGTAAAACACATACTGTATGTAGAAGTAATATGCTGCAGGGAGAAATCAATTAACTATTAGAGGCATTGAATTTATGAATTTGATATACTGCAAATCAGCACTTGTGCCGTCCATCTGCATGTAGAAGTGATACAGGTTCAGGCAAAATGTCAAATTGTCGGGAACTGTTAAAGTTAATTGTTAATGACCCAATTGACATGTTTATCCAGATTGCTTGGTAGCATGGGTTATTAGAGGGGGTGCATGACCAATATGCGCTGGTTGTCATATTATCAGGTGCCATCCAATGGCCTTGCCCACCACTAAGCAGCATCAGACCACACCACAAATTTGACCATTATTTCATCATTGGGATCTATTTCTGGACACGTGAATTCTTCATACTGTGATACTGTGCATGAAAAATGCTGCCAGTCATATGCCGCGGAGATGAAACCAAATAATCACAGCTCTTCTTTGGAGGTCACAACATGTGTTAAACAATGGTTTAAATGCCAGTAGCATGTGAAATGCACATACACCTGGAAGCACTTTTCATACCCAGCCCAACCGTCTTTAAAGAATTTCAGATTGACCTCCAGTATGCTATACTATTGAGGTCTGTTTGAGAGGCAATCAGCAATGTTGGAGATTTTATTTCTCAAATTATTTTGTGGTCTTAATGTTGCAATTTAGTTGTTAAAGCAGTCTGTCACCGTTTAGTGGATATCATACCTTATGAATGATATGTTCCTAAACAAAAAATGATTTTGTATATTTTATAAAAAAAAAATAAGCTGTATACTATTGATGCAGGTTATTCCAAATATGGCTGAACTTAAGTTTTTGGTTAGATATAGGGCAGTGTATCAAATGTAAATATTTGTCTAATCCAATATTCTTTTCAAAAATTCTAACATTCTATATATATATATATATATATATATATATATATATATATATATATATATATATATATAATTTTTTTTTATTTTTTTTTTTACATTCTTTATTTTTGTTGTGCTAGTAAGTACATGAAGGCTTGTGATGCCACAACAGCAAGAGCAAACGTTTCGGTAATAAACATAATTTTACAGAGTCATGGCACATAAAGAATTTGCAATTTTTTGTAGTAGAAAAATAATAAAACTGTAATAATGCTGATAAGTACACAGTGCGTTGTAACGAAAAAAGGTATTTTGTAATAAATGCTTAGCCTATGCACTGGTAGCAAGAAACTAGGTATAGGGTGCTAAGTAGGAGATCTGCACATTCAGATCTGTTCGGGTTCATCCGATAACTATGTGTGCACTCCATGTCACACAGCCAGACATAGTCTCTGTGAGCCAGAACCTTCCACTCCCCCGGCCCCAAGTCTCAAGATGGGCCCATGTGCTATCCCCACTGATCCGGTTGCTCTTGGCACCAGGAACAGTGTTCCGAGAGGAACAGAGTGAAGTTTCTCAGGGGACGTAGGGCAAGCGTGGGGGTCCTCTCCCTCTCAGCCCTCAGCCTGGTATAGTGGCAGCGGGCACCTGCTACCTTGGCCTTCAGGCTAGCATGATGATGTCGGGGCCTTTTATTCCTTCGTCGGAGGACTGGATTCGTTGATACCTGTCTCAAAGAACAGCATGGATTGATGAGGCGGCTAACAGGATGTGAGTCATAATGCGAGTTTTCACTCTCTCTTCTCTTCATGCCAGATTTCTCCGCTCTCTATTTTCTGCCAGAAAGCTGAGATGGTTTGGTCAAGCCGCTCCATGATTGATGTCCACGGGTCTCGTGTGGCAGTATTATTAGGTGCGTCCGCCATCTTGGCTTTAAGGCAGACCTTGTGTAGGTACAGAGGTTACTGGGCTGCGGGCCCTCCCTCAATTGAGTGTCAATAGCCAGAGAGCTGTTGCCGTGATAACCCTCACCGGCAGGGGGCAGAGACAGGTCACCCACGCGCCTCCACTCCCTCCCGCAGCCATAACAGTAGGGAGATCGGCCGCCTCTTTTAAATTTGAAGGGAAATGTGTCCTTGTGATGGTCCGGGAGCTATGGAAAACGTTCTCGTCCTTTGTACAATACAGTAAAATTACTGATCACAAGATTTAGCAGTAAAAAAACGAACAAGATATAGAGATAGGGACATGGACAAAGGGGAGTTTGTTTCCGCCTATATTATGTAATTTAGTGTTCAGTTTCCTACAACTCGCTGCTTAGTAAAAAAACAAACAAATTATTATAAAAATGAGCTGCACTCTACGTTTCATAGGGATTACTTTAAATAGTTTAAATAGTAAATTGTACATTGTAGAGTTTTATGTCTGTAGTTTATCTGGGAATTTTTGGCAAATAGTTTTATTAAGCATAAATTGCGGTTACTTCAAATAAAGGGTTTATCCTCTAAACATCAAACTTTGGTGAATGAAAACAGAATTGTACAATTTGGGCTGTAATAGCCAAGCTGTGAATCAGAGTTGGATATTTTTATGAATAAGTAATATTTCCTGCAATTTGTTTTTCAGTACTCTACATTTAGCTTTTAGCGAATAAACCCCAGTAATATATCCTGTAATATGAACATTTGGGGTCGACGACAGGGAGGGTCTATTCACTAACACCTGTTGTAGGTCTACATTATTGTAGTTTATCAACTCAAAATAAACAAATTCTATAAAATGGTATATACCTTAACTACAAGTTAAGGAGATTCAGCCAATGCAATTTGTGCCTCAAGAGCACTTCTCTAAGGTACGAAATGCTTTAGCTCCTTCTGTGTGTGCCTCTTTCCCTGCTATATCCTGAACAAGAAATAAAGCTATTTTTTTTATTTTATAAAAGCTGGTTTTAGCTGGAAGTTTATTTTTTGTTTGTTCGTATTGAATGCAGGTGTTTTGATGTGACCCGTATCAGAACTTATCCCAACTAACTGTTTAGTTAATACACCCCTTTCATTTTTGTAACCGAAGCACAATATTACTCAATATAGAATCTAATTATATACATACTCCAAGGATGGAGACGTAGAATTTAGGAGCCAGAGATGTATTTAGAACCTAATATTAGCACGCCAGTATTCCAAGAGTCTGTGTGAAGTACCTCCATTGAGTTCAGTTTAAAAACTCAAAATAGTTGGGTGTCTACAGTATCAATTTTAGGAACCATAGGTTTAAGAATAAATAAGTAGAAGCAGATCTCCCACAATGCTTTGCTTGTCATTAGGCTGGCAAAGCATCATGGGAGCAGTACTTGTACTTTTTATACCATCACTGCCTTAGAGTGCTGGGAGTAGAATGTTTAGATATAAAGACATGGTGATGTTAAATATCTGATTTGGCATGATACAGCAGGCATTGTTAGGAATTCAAAGTAAATTTGCCATTTTTGATGAAATGTAAAATTCACCAAGTCAGCTATTATTTTCAGATCAGTGATTTGGCCTAGAATTTCAAATTCACTGCGAATTAACTTAACATTTCCCACATTTTACCTTGCTAGAGGTTTGTGCATTTCAGAAACTGCCCGTTTAAATTTTAAAAGATTGTTTTAACTGATCACAATTCACTGTTTAGTGTATCACCCCCACGGTGTAATCCATTTTATTTTCAAAACAAAGAAGGTTTTTCTTTCTTTTTTTTTTTTTTTATCAGTACAAGAGAGGTGCATTCACTACCTAGAAGGGTCTGTTTACCCAACAGTGAGTGGCATATATTTTGCTGATTTAAAAACAGAAACACCACAATGTATCACGTAGTAACTGGACGGGACCCCAGCGGGTTGATGTGCAGTTTGGAGAATTAAAGGTTTCATTCACTAACCAGTGATATTTGGTAAACTAAAAACTGAATTGTAAGATCTAGATTTCAATAGCTGTGATGGAAAAAAAAAATGTATCAAAATTTTCCAAATCTATTTTGACTGAAACTTTGCAATTCATTTTTCAATTAAAGGGAAACTATAGTGCTAGGATACATAGTTGTATTCCTAGCACTATAGTACCCTCTGCCACTCCCCTCCCATCACTGAAAGGGTTGAAAACCCTTATGTCACTTATCTGATTCCTGCGCTGATGTCTATTAGTATTTGGTCAGGCTCTGAGACTGTTCCTCCGCCAACAGGGGAACCTAATGCACATGTTTTGCGAGCGCCACAATCACATTAGGTCTTCTCCACAGGAAAGCATTGAATCGATGCTTTCCTATAGAGTTTTAGCTGACGTTGATGTCCAGCCTCATTTAGCGACCCACAAGTCTGCTAAGGACCCAGAAACGCCTCTAGTGGCTGGTTTAGTTTGGTAGACATCCAAAAGAGGTTGAGTGAAGCTTGCACGGTAATTATTGCATTTTCTCAATAAATTGAATAATTACAGTTACAGGGTTAAGGGAACATGGGACACTGCACAAAGACCAATGAGCTGAAGTGGTCTGGGTGCCTATAGTGTCCCTTTAACTACAATTCATTGTGTGAATGTTAAAGGGACACTCAACGGCCCAAAAAACCCCCAAAACTATTTAGTAGATATTCCCCCCAATGAAAAAATACATATAGTTAATTAAATATTTTTTATTAGGGTTATATCTAAAACGGCCTCTAAAAGCTATAGAGCTCCCTTTCTAACCCCAGCCAGACTTTCTGTCCAATCACAACCAGGAAGTAACAGAAACTGTCATCTGATAGACAGCTTGTGGGGAAGGGGGTAACAAAGTTAATTTATACAAGTGACAATGTCTATTAAAATCTGCACTTTTTGTAAAAAAAAAAAAAAAAAGAGAGAAAAGAGGACACTCTTCTAGCATAAAACACTTCATTCCGCATACTAAAGTGATTTAAGGGTCTGGAGTGTGTCTTTTAGAGATTCAATGTGAATTTTTGTTTTAGCTTAAAATAGTCAAGCTTTGACCTAAAATTTGACTCTCACTCTGAATTCCCAACAAATTATACTCGGTTTAGTAAATAATCCTGTTTAGTAGGAAAGAAATGATTTGTACGTTATATTAGTGAAAAAGCTCCATGTTTTTAACGACCATAGTATTGTGCCATGTTTGGTTTCCTGTGTCCGATTTCGGCTATAACAATGGTTTTGCCAATTTATTATTAATTAACCAAACCCGGCTTTGTGCAGACAGTCACTCTTCACAGACGATTTACAAAACTAATGGACGTTTATTATTAAGCAAATAAAGATATAAAGTCGTGGATGCAGAGATAATACATCGCCTTCTGCATTGTGTTTGTTCAGCTTGATTTATCAGAATATTCATTTCAGCTGCATGACATGCACACACTCTATGGCTGTATTCTCATATCATACACGCATGTTAATAGAGACCTCATTATTGTAAATTCTCTATAATGTTCCCACATAAAAGCATTCTCTCCGCAGAGAGTAGAATCAGGTTGAAATCTCTGATGAATACTGAACCCACCTGAGCACTTCGTATGATTTTCTTCCTGTGATGTATAAAAGGAATAATTATTTATTTGATATGCTATTTTCCTCTAAACTGTGTCTTTTCAAGGTTCCTCACCACAGCAATTCAAATGGTAATAATATTTCTAGGAAGCATTAAAATACACCTCACAAGTGCCCTTTAGGAGTGACAGTCCCACTAGTCGAGGCACGTACAGCCTGCGGCCCATGGGCTGCATGCAGTCTGGAACCGCAGGCAATGCGGCCCACCAACTGCGGTACCATCCGCAAGTTGACTCAGGGACCCGGTCAGACACCGCGGCTCTGAAATAGCGTGACCGGACCCCTGCTTTGTATGATGCTGCAATTTGGCCTAAATTTTGAAATCCACTTTTCATTTTCTGCAAGTCCCACTTTGTTGAATATTCCTGTCTGTCTGTGTCATAGTATAGGCCACCGCTATAATTTTAGCTGCTGTTTGATGACATTTCCCAGAATCCTCTGGCTGCAAATTGGGGTCCAAATGCCTACATGTGCTACTGAGGTAACTTACACAGAAACATGCGTCTCACTGCTATTTGAAAAACATTAATTTAGCGTTATACGGGGAATGTTACAGACAAGATTTACAAATGGGGGTCCTGTACAAAGCAGAACCATTCTGGGACTGAATTCTAAAAGTTAAAGGGACACTATAGTCACCCAGACCACTTCAGCTCAATGAAGTGGTCTGGATGTCAGGTCCCTCTAGGGTTAGCCCTGCCTCATGTAAACATAGCTGTTTCTGAGAAACTTCTATGTTTACATCTGGGGTTAAGCCGGCCTCTAGTGGCTGTCTTCCGGAAAGCTTTGAAAAATGCTTTCCTACGGACATTTTGAATGCGCGCGGCAATGCCGCGCATGTGCATCCGGTGACGTCAGACAAGGATGCTGACGACGGGGGAGGAGAGGTAAGGGAGCCCGGCGGGGGGAAAAGGGTGAGTAGCTGAAGGGGTATTAACCGCTTCAGCGCCGTGGGAGGGGGACCCTGAGGGTGGGGGCACCCTCAGGGTACTATAGTGTCCCTTTAAGCAGTTACCATGGAGACCTATTGAATGTTAATTCTGTTAAAGAGCAATACTTAGACTACATACTAAAAGTGGAGCAGTCGCCATGGATACCAATGGAATGTTCATTCTGATTGCACCTGTTTTAGAATGTTTGTCCCCAGAATTTCTCACTCTCATTAAATGTAATTTTCAAAAGACAGTCCTAGGTCAGATCTGTCTTATAATAGCACATATTATACTACCCCAAAATTAAACCAGTGAAGGGCATTAGCTGCTCCCTGGTGAGTCCCCTCCAAGCATGCAGGAGGTATCATTCAAACTGAGTCGTGTTACAGCATTGTGTTTCAACGCCGTGTCCCTTCCTCCGATTGCATCTTGGCACAAGGGAACCCGTGGTATCTATTTCATTGCAGGGTAGTATCTTTCTAGACGTCTGCTTGGTCTCATGGTTACTCCTGTGTTCTCATTAGCAGTTGTAGGTTCTAGGAAAAATATCCCTCCTTATCGAGAAGAGGAATTTGTGAAAAGACTGTGACTGTGAGTTGCTTGAACAGGATTTTACAAGTAAGCAGTTGCTCAAAGATCGGTATCTTGAAATGCAAACTGGTTTCAAAGTATTTCTCGTGGAATATTGTAGAGTACGGAACATGCCTTGCGGAGTTATGTCAGTCTTTAGAGGTCGGGTAAACCAGTGCTCAGCTTTCTACGTCTTCAACAGGAAATAATTTCAAGTTAATTCATATTAGTAATAGTGTTTAATATAATATGTATATTGGCAGATAAAATCTTCCACAGGTTGTAAGATTTTCATTTTAATGTGCTTTGTATCTTTTTTGTTTAATTAGGTGGACTCTGCACTTTACAGGTTACATTACAGTAGAAGGAGTTATAGTAGTGGAAGTACGAATACAGTGTATGTATATTATATTTATATACCACTAACATTTGTACTTAGCACTCTACAGGTTATATTACAGTACAGGTATACAGTGTATGTATATTTATATAGAGCAAACATTTGTACTTGGCACTTTACAGGTTACATTACAGTACAGGTATACAGTGTATGTACATTTATTTATATAGTGCTAACAGGTGTACTCAGCACTTTACAGGTTACATTACAGTAGAGGGAGGTACAGTAAGTGCAGTAGGTATACAGTGTATGTACATTTATTTATATAACGCTAACAGGTGTACTCAGCACTTTACAGGTTACATTACAGTAGAGAGAGGTACAGTAAGTGCAGTAGGTATACTGTGTATGTATAATTTATTTATATATCATAGGTGTACTTGGTAAATGATGTAGTAGTGCAGGGAATGTATATTTAATTTTATAAAGCAATGATTACAAAATAGAAAACTCCCTGGGTTTCAGCCTGGCTCCAACATCGGCCCCCCTCAGTCCTGAGGGCCAGGGTCCTACCAGCTGGAATGGATATAAAATAAGGTTACGTCATCTCAATCATCTGTCAAATAACTCAGTTATTTCCCAAACTACTGGACAGTCTTTACATTAGTTTTTATAAATAAAACAGGTGTTCCATATTTTTCTTCACACACATTTCTATTTTGCACAGATCTCACTACATCTGATCTATTACCCTGTCCTCAATTTAGTAACCCTTCCAAATAAGCCAATACTGTTAGTAAAACTCTCCAAATGATTTGTCTAAAGAAATACCCGTACATGTTAATGGTGTCTTTTACAAATCAATCAATTGGAAAGTTATTCTAACAATACCGAATAATTTAAAATGCTTATTAAATCAAGGCTCATGTCAGTTTGTGTTTTTTTTTTTTGTTTTTTTTTAATATTTTTATCATTTTGAAACTATGAAATCCAGTTGCCATTCAAATTGCCTGACTTTGTTATCCTTGACCTGCTCTATAAAACGTACATTACCAAAAAAATCTGCAAAGATCATGTGATGTGAGCAGCCAATCAGAATCTGAGATTAGCTCATTAACATTTTTATGATGCTTTTTGGTGGCGCATAGAAAATAATGTTAAATAAGTGACAAGTCTGTTTTTAAAACCAAAACAAAAAAAACCCTACATTAAAGGGACACTATAGTCACCTGAACAACTTTAGCTTAATGAAGCAGTTTTGGTGTATAGAACATGCCCCTGCAGCCTCACTGCTCAATCCTCTGCCATTTAGGAGTTAAATCCCTTTGTTTATGAACCCTAGTCACACCTCCCTGCATGTGACTTGCACAGCCTTCCATAAACACTTCCTGTAAAGAGAGACCTATTTAGGCTTTCTTTATTGCAAGTTTTGTTTAATTAAGATTTTCTTATCTCCTGCTATGTTAATAGCTTGCTAGACCCTGCAATTTAGAGATTGAGATACAATTATTTAAGGTAAATTACATCTGTTTGAAAGTGAAACCAGTTTTTTATTTTTTCATGCAGGCTCTGTCAATCATAGCCAGGGGAGGTGTGGCTAGGGCTGCATAAACAGAAAGTGATTTAACTCCTAAATGACAGTGAATTGAGCAGTGAATTTGCAGGGGAATGATCTATACACTAAAACGGCTTTATTTAGCTAAAGTAATTTAGGTGACTATAGTGTTCCTTTAAATAGCACCGGGTATTATTTGAATATCCTTTTAATTTCAAGCGGGTCATATATTTTCATTAATTCATACTTCTAAATATTTGAATATATCGTAATTCAATGTTTCAAATGTTAAGAAACGAACATTTGAATATTGAATATAAAGTGATCCCTTTCATTATTTTTGTTTACACATATTATAATCGAGTTAGACGTATTGCAGTAAGTCAATCCATTTGAACCCTCTTTACTCAGTAATCTGGAGTTATTTTCCTGACAGCAATATTGTTGTGAAACGTGTTTGACCTTATCACGGGAAAGTCTTCGGCATTTTTCAAGAACTCGATGCAAAGACTTTGATGCACATCATCAGGGCGTTTTCTAAACCGGTCAGGTAGCATTTTGAAATGATTTCTTCTAAACAATAATACGTTCCTATTAAAAATAAATAAATCACGTGTTGCTAATACTATTGCAGGTGTAATATAGCAAATAGAAACCATTTTAAAGAGGGACTATAACATCTCTGGGAATTATACCATTGAATACATTGAAAAACTTTTTTCCCATGGATGCTTCATTGTCTTTTTTACATTTATAAGTGAAGTCCCAATCCAATTCAGACAAGGCACATCCGTGGCACGCATTGCAAATGAGGAGGAAAAGCACCATTTTTTGTTTTTTTTAATATATTTGTTATTTTAACTTTTACATTGAGGTTTTTTTTTTTCATTTGTTTTTTTTTTTTTTATGGGATGTAATCGTCCGTATTTTTGTCACTTTTTTTCATTCCACTTTCAGATTTTCTCCTCCTTTTTTTTCTGATGATTTTACCATTGATTACATTTACAAAATGAGACTATTTCAGAAACCCCTTTGACTGTTATAATTCAGTGTTTACAAATGAGAGACTGCAGGGTCCAACACCACTTCATTAGGCACAGGTGCTTAGTGTCTCCCTTTAAGTATACAGGTATTTAAACATCATTTTAAAAATCATCCCCTTTAACGCACGTTTGGGAGATTTAACAAACGTTATTTTGGAGCAGAGTGTTAAATAAGTAAAAGGAAAAACATTAGAATGTCTGTTATCCTATAGCATACTGTCCTAGGATAGCTGGATTTTCCAATGAAAAACGTTCCTGTTTCTGATTTAAGATTTTCATACACATGATCTAATGCAGATGTCACAGCTTTATAATGATCTTGTTAATTGTTAGTCATGTATTTTATATTTAATAAACTGTTTCAAGTATACATGAAGTTATCTAAGTGCTGAATATGGCACTGATATTTGTCCTATTTCTCATGTAATTCAGATCTTAAAAGTAGCAGCTGTTCATGCGGTAAAAGAAGACAGGGTTTGATAAAGTAAAGGAACGTCTCAAGTACCATAACAACTGCAGCTTATTGTAGTGGAGAGGCAGAGAAAACATTGCGAACAGAACAACAAAATTAGCGAAAGAAAACCAGAGAAAACCAAAATAACAGGTTTAAGGGGCAGAACTGAAGCTGTGACATTTAAATGCCTGTAAGCACCTGTCGCTGTCAGATTAATTGTGGATTTGGTAAACGCACAAACAAAAAAACTTAGTCTAAACAACAAACACCCAGCAGCCTCTCTCACGTATATTGACGGGTTGATCGTGACATCCCCCATTGAGCTATGCCCCTTTACGTCATGGCTGGCTCGGGTAGGACTATAACAATGCAGGTAAGACATTGTTTGACACATGCGTTGGAGTCATAGGGGTTTATTCGTTAACAGGATTATTTATCATAGTAGAATTGCCAGGAATTCAAATTCTGTAAATTTCACATTTTAGGCGAAATAAAATGCTCCAACTCAACAATGTTTACAATTTGGCTATTTTGGCCTAAAAATGTAACTTTCCTTTGAAATCATTTTGATTTTCCCGCAATTCACACGTTCTGTAGATTGAATTTTAATCACACATTGGAGACTCCTGCAGGATCCAGAAGGCTATGTATTCCTAAGCCTTACTTTCAAATTTCTATTGCACATATAAGCGAAAATGAAATCAATATTTTACTCCTCATCCTTCAATGATTTAGAAATGTTTTTATATCTATAATGGTAGGAAGCAGGTTGCTATAGAATTGCCGTTTTTAAAAAATTAAATATTATACATTCTTTCTTTGCAGATCATACACAAGATACAGCAAGTATGGACATCACCCATCAGCTTTCTTATCTGTCCTGATCACCACTGGAAATATTTGGCAGGGGTGTGAGACTGCATTAATTACACGGTATGCACTGATTTTCTTTGATATGAGCTGTAAAATGATCATTATTGTATTGTGTCAGACACTTAGCCCCTGATCTCCGTGCATATAGTATGTAATGGTTATTAGATTGAATGTGTGTATATTGTGACTGTACGTACCCATATCCCTGTTACTAGTACGATTAATGCAGGTCTAGCCTTTGGGGTATTATGTAAATTCCTCATACAGTTAAAATAGTAACTGTGTAACTATAGTTTTCAGATAAATCCTTGAAACATTGAAGGGATATAATTACCAGCACCCCCCACCCTTTTTAATTAATTATGAAGATGAGAGATGTCCAACCTAATTGTGTGGGGGGGGCATAAATAACCATTCCTACATTGGCGCTTACTAGCAGGGCAGTGGGTCAGGCTCACAGCATCTGACTATGGCGGAGAACCTTAGGTGGAGATTGGAAAGTCTCAGGTCTGATTCTGGAACCTTTTCATTGTTTTCTTTGTGCCCCCGGTTACACCCTGTGATACCGAGAGAGAAGTGTCCTACATTTGTAGGAGCGCGCGTTGGGTGCAGAATTTAATCCAGCATGTGTGGGGTTAATCCAGCATTTGTGAAGTAAATCTAGGTTTATATAAAACTTTTTTTCAGTGTTTGGCATCCTAACGTGAACTATAGAACATGTTACGGTGAAGGGTTGGTCATAGAGCATAGTATAGGGAGGGTTTTGGATGTGCTTAAGTCAATAATTGTTGTAGGTGGCATAAAAGTTACCCTTAGTCTTATCCATCTGGTCTATTTGCCTGCTATCAATATCCCTGGTCAAGTAGTTCCTGCTCAGAATGCAGAGGCAGGATGGTGGCACAGTAGGCCACTAATAAAGAATACGTTCTCTATGAGAAGACCAAACAAGGGTTGAGATGATCTACCAGAGATGCTATGTCTGAGGCCAGCCGACACTCTCAGCCAGTAAACAGTGTTGAAATAGGGACAAAATGAATGTGTGATGCAGAAGGCGACATTCTCCTTTGGCTATATCTAAAGAGGGGGCTACACTGCAGGTGCCTGGGAATGCAAAATTGTCAAACAAAGTGAAAAACATTTCGACTCTTACCAGGGGGGCGTTGCCAGGGCCTCATAACCTAGTCAGTGGGCTGTTGTGGTTATGGTGCTTGTGTATATATGGAAAGAGGCAAGATCTATCTAATAAATCAAGTTTTCTGTCCTATAGTATACAAAGTATTAAAACCCGTCCTCTCATTGCTGGTTATGTCGCTTTATTTGACATGTTTTATGTATTGATAAGCGAATGGGTTCTAACAGGAATACCTTGAGATTTCTGTTCCTTTAATTCACTCGGTTTGTATGTCATTACTTGTTTCTCTGCTGGAAGAATTAATATTATTATCCTTTAAGGGTTCATCAAGTTTAGCAACACAGGGGGAATTACGTGGTTAATATGCGCTTATTCAGGTTATTTTCTTTTCCACCTTTAAATTAAAGAAATGTCTCTGAATTAGAAAACAGCTTGGTTCGCTTCCTATAAGGCTTTTACACTCCAAACCTCTTGTAAGTCGTGTACTGCGCACGTAGGTAGAAGAATAGAGGCAGCGGAAAAACTCTTTGTTTAAGAAAAGTGCTTTCATTTAATACACCCACGCGTTTCAGTCGGGTGCCGCTCTCAAGTAATGGCACAAAACAAACGATTGCTGAGGCTGTGGAGGCCTAGCCGTGCCAGTCTCTCAGCGGCTGCACTGAATGGGGACTTTGAGGGGACAAGGAGTAGTTGTGTTATTTACAAACACTGCATTGTCCCCTTCTCAGTGTAGATATCTGCTAGACTTACGCCTGCACATCTGGGAACGACTTTTTTTGCGTTTTTGCTCCCTTTTCTGAATTTGAGTTGATTTTTCTTCTGATCTCCAAGTTTCTGAAATTTGATTCTGTCGTGACCTCTGTTAAACGTAACACATTAGGTCTATTTGTTAAAGAGGCATGACCTTCGTTTCTAATTCATACAAACTGTCAGGCAGAGGTGTTGGCATGTTAATAATATATTTATACAGCACTTTTTCTCCTCTGTAAGGTTTAAAATGCTTAGTACGTTTGTGGATTTAACCACATTCGCCACTGATAAATATGTTAATATTACCAAACTTAATGGTATCATTTATTTTTTATTTTTTTTTAGCAACCTCAACAGCATGAAAAAAATGAAGGTTTTATTCATTAAACACTAAACTGCGATCGATACTGCAAAATATAGGAACAAAAAAATATATTTTTTAAAAATGTCTCCAACTCCCCTGCAGTCACTGCTTGGTTATTTTATACTTTGTTTTGCAATTTAAATTCAGTTCATTACAATTCATTGCAAAATAAACTTACGAGTTTATACTCTCAGGAATAAAACCTGCTATACACACACACACACAAGATGCTACAATCAATGCATTAACAAACTGATACTTTATAAATCGATGCATTAACCAACTTAATAAAATACCGGTAATAAATAAAATAAACTGAGCTATCTTGCTGGCTTTAATAAAAATAATTATTAGAATAAAAGAAGGTGCAGTAACATCTATCAGGGCCTGTTACTGTTTCAGTTACTGCGGGTAGATGATATATAACATAAATATACCAGTTAGGACTAGATATTTGTCTGACGTTTTGTCCGATGTTTGCCATGCTAGTGGCCTGGCAACCGATTTAAGTTGGCATATGGTGTTGGCATGCAGAATTCACATTCTTTTCTTTTTTGTGATGCATTTTCTACCCAAGAGGATCTTACCTTTCAGCTCCCTGGGATCCAATCTATTGCAAAAAAAGAGGACTGACGTACATGTAACCTCCGGTGTGAGATGAGCGATCACTGCTTGTAGGAAAATGTTTTTTTTTGTTTTTTTTCCCTGGGGTGCAAGCAGTCTTTGTAGATTAAAAATCTATTTATTCCTCTTAGTAAAACTCTTTTCTAGGAAAGATCCAGGAGTTTGAGCTCTGGCCAGTGAGTGCAATATACCTGAGCGCACGTTGTGTGCGCCGGCGCCGCACAGGGTGTTCTGTCTGATAAATGTAATACCAGGAGAAGGCAACAAGGAACGAGCTGGTGATCTTACAATTGGTGAAGACGTATAGCGTGCAGGCATAGCACATGGTTTTATTGCTATAGAAGAAGTCTTGAAGGGTAACAGGACAATGTCATGATATCAAATCCATTATATAATTGCCCTTTTACTATTTCACAGCCGTGCCACAAGCTTTTTTGTTACAGAGAAACATGTTTTTTCAAAGGTCTCTATCACAGTAATTGGAGAAGGTTTTTATTTTTATATTTATTTTTTCCATTTTACACTTCACTTCACTGTAACATTTTTTGCAGACGTCTTATTTTTTTCATGGTGATGGTAAGTCTAAACCCGTTGCACCTCAGATAGACAATGGCAGGTGATCTAGAGCAAAGTTAAACATTCTTTGCTAGCACCTCTTTTACATGTGACTACTGGGACCTCGCTCCCCACTAAAAGACACATCTGGGACACTGAATTCTGGTTTCTGGTACTCTACTATAGAGTGTTCTGGTACTTCTTTAGAGAGTGTTCTTGTACTCTAATATAGAGATTGGACTGGTACTCTCCTATAGAGAGTGTTTTAGTATTCTGCTATATAGAGTGTTCTGGTACTCTACGATAATGGGGATGTTAAGATTCTAGTACTTTATAGTTCCATAGTAATAGCAAGCTTTTGGTATTGGTACTCTCCTGTAGGAGCAAAGTACAAGTACTTTTTCTTATATTGGGGAGACTGATGGAGAGTTTCAGGTATCTTCCTATAATGAGGTGCTCTTCGTTATGGTTGTGCCCTGAAAATAATGTCCCAGTTTTGTAGAGAATCTGTAACCGAGTTCTAGATCTTCTATTGATTGTCGTGGGCCATAATTAAAACCTGTTAGAAATGTAATCTTCCAAAAAATTCAGACCCCTGTCTTACTGCTCTCTGCCTGGTTATATTTACCTAATTCGTTCCATATATAATATCCCATCCTCTTCTTTTTCTCACGTTCTATTTGTTTCTGTTTTGATTATTCCTTTTAGTTTATAGAGAACTGAGAAAGAAATTGCAAATTTCAGATGAAAATAGCAGAACGAGTTAAAATACTCCCACTCGTTAACTCGTCGGCTTCTCTGGTCTTAAACATGCAATTCTCTTGTCAACTGGCCACGTTCCTTGGTGTAGTAAATACATCTATATCATTTATATTTTAATTTTGGTGGTAAACCGAGAGGGTCAAAAAAAAAGCTCCATTGGTAATGTTTATTTTTTTCGCCTAAATTTGCAGATTTGCCCAACCAATACAATGTTAGTGTTAGTTTAGTAATTTTGTAATCACAGTGAGTAGACTGGATTCCCTGTTGTTGTTATTATTAGGACAGCACAGTTATTTAGCCCTGCTTTAATTAGAGGCTTACTGGGATGTTTCTAATTATGGTAACCTTAATTCTTCAAGGAAAACTTACTTAACACTAAACCCAAAGCCAATCTCAATTTCCTTGCAGGTTCTTTAAAAAGAAATGTCACTTTCCATGAGTTTTAATTTATTGGTCATAGATTCGCTATATTTAGCAAATGTATTTGTGAGACCTGTAAAAAATTAAATTAAATATTTACCTTTAGCCTGGAAATGAGCAAATCCATATTGGCTCAATGTCAATCATTGTTATAAGCCAGGGGTATTAAAGTACGGGGGACATTTCCAGCCCCCTAAATACTTTAATGTATTATCCCGCGTGGGATAAAGAGGAATGCCTGAGGCCCAGGAATACCACTCTACCGGTATGTCCTGGATTGCTAGGGGCCTCGTCTGCATCGGGGCTATGAACACAGGGTGACTTACAGAAAAGTGATGATTCACAAACTATTTGTGTAGGTAGATAGACTGATAGACAAACAGATGCAATGTCACTTTTTCTATGGATATATTATTAAGAAACACAATTTGTTTATTAGAACAAATGCTTTTGAGCTTGTCTTACAATCTTACAAAAGTACACAAAATAATTTGGGTGCTGAAAGAAGGGTCAGAAGCTGAAACTGTTCATCGGAGTGGACCTTAAACTTGTCTTTATTATCTTTCTACTTGATAGAGATACAACAACTATCTATGGGTTTGTTCCCATGCTCCCGTCAAACAACGCATTAACCAATAAAGTATTGCGACATGTGGCACAATTATAACACTGTATGTAAAATATGCATATAATTCACGTTCTCTTGCAATCTAGCCTGCTGGTTGCACATGCGCAATCCACAAGCGGTCGTTTGAACAAGTTGCCCTTAGTGTTTGCAGACATCTGACTTGCCAGGAAGCAGCAGGCAGTGGCTGCCGTGAGTTACAACCCTTTTAACAACTAGCGACGTGGCTGTAAACATTACCAACAATCATGGAACAAGCCCTACGTGTTGTGGTGGGTATTTCCAGAGAGGAGTGGGTTAATTAGATGCATGCTATTATTGTTTAAATTCATCACTAGCAATACCCAAAAAGCAGCCCATTATATTTAAATTAATAGACATTTTCTCCATCGGTTAATGACAGGTTTTTGTTGTTAATTTGCCCTATTTACCTGGAGACTAATTATGCTGAAGGCACAGATTGCACAATGTCTGTAGTGTTCCTCTCTGGAAAGAAATCTTTTTACTCTCGAATGCTCACCAGTTATTAAACGTTTTTATTCCCGTAAGTAAATCACTTCTTGGCGGCAAGTGTTTTATATAAAACTAAATGGATCTACCCCCATAGCTCCTGCTTGCAAGACACACCTGATTGGTTCCTTCCCAGGTTACTCTCTAAAATAAAAATTCTTGGGAATCCAAAGTGAATTTAAAATTTGAGGTCACAATTGCTGATTTGGGAAAATACGCCTTCTATTTTGGCTATTCACTAACAGTTCACTTTCAATTCCTGACAAATCACGTTTTAAGTGAATAAAACTGTCAATATGTCCTTGTTGTTCTCAGTTCTATAAATATATGTAAAAACTTGTGTTGGCCTCTAGCACTTATTTTAACCAGAAGTTGTTCATATTTTGAAGCCAGTTAAACCACTTTTTAATTGCTATCCCATGTACATCTTTAGTGCAGGAATAACTAATTTAATCAGTTTGAGTGTTGGTCTATAACCCCTGCAAAACTGGTTACGTTTCCAAAATTGTCTGAGGCTCTTCACCTCCCCCATGCTCCGGGATTATGCAGCAGACAGTATTATTTGAAGTATGTGTAATGGAACGACCGCTTCTGACATCTGACCATCTCCTCTCTATTTCCCACTGATAGCCCCAGACCCTGAACGAACATGGTACAAAAGTATCAGTCCCCGGTACGGGTTTACAAGCACCCGTTTGAGCTTGTCATGGCGGTAAGTAATTTTTCTAAATTACTAGTTTCTATTAATTCCTTAAAACAGTAAAATTAACGACATCCGTTGTTTGTTTTGTTTAATGTTTTTATTTAAAATTCAGGAAAAATAAGCCGAGCTTCAAAAACGGAAAGAAAACTATAAGCTAAATTTCTTAATTATTATTATTTATTTTTTTCACTCTGATTCTCTAACTTTCTTTTATAATATTTATTAGAAATGTTCATGCAATACATACTTCGTAAATAAATTAAATGTTTAATACAAATTTACTGCTTTACTTTAATTAAATTTAGGTGTAAAAATGAAAATAGTTTAATAGGTTTTCACCATAAGGCTACCATGTGCCAACAGCTTTGAATTTTCAGTGGATATGCCAGGTTGAGCATTATTGTCCTCTTCCCGGCATGTGCGCGTTATTTACAAATCCCAGGGCTTTAGTATCATGGCATCCATTGAAATGAGTCTGGGAGGATGAATGTATTGAACTAATTGATTCTGGTATGTGTACAAGACAAAAATATATAATGGTAATAGAAGGAGGCAATAAGGCTCTGCAGAAGAGTTGTAATCATCTCAAGTTTTTGCAAAATAAAAGGAGGCCCTAGGTTGTCCTTTGTGTACGGAGGGAGCACCAAGCTCTGCAGGGGAGGAGTTGTCCGCATGCAGTTCTGCGGATTGGTGGATATATGCTCAGGGCTCTGTTGGGGAAGGAGAGGCAGCCCCAGGGCACGCAAAGGAGTTGTGTGTGTGTGTGTGTGTATATAAAATAAATCCAAGGCTCCTGCACTCCAACTTTAACAAAATAAATACCTGGTGCTCTGGTCACATAAAGTATAAATAATGAAAGAAATACCGGCACTCCAGGATTTCATTATTTATATATATATATATATATATATATATATTCTAAATACATTATTGTGTGTAGAATATATGATAAATATTAGTCATATACATTTATTATTTACATTGTTATAAAAAATGTATGCCTAAGAAACATGTGATTTATTTTTTATTTATTTTTTTATTAATATTTCTATTTGGGATTATAACCTCTGCCTTGACATTTCTCCTCCATAACTCAATCACTGATCAGGATTCCGAGAATGATCCCAGTTCTTCCTGTTCCGGACTTTTTGAAGTCAAGGCTGGTATACTCACAGGAGAGAACACGATCCGTTACCTAATCTACGCCATCGAGCTGGCAACACAAATTACACGCGATTACGCCGGCTCATCGCCCTGAGCGACACCTGATCTCCTGACACACGTAAAGGGCTTTGTTCCTTTACTCTAGACAAAGTTCCCTTACGTCAATCAGGCCGCCTAGTCTCCACCGTTTTCTTGGTGAAAGAGACTTCAATTTTAACTCTATAGAGGCTGGAGCAATGTTTTATGCAGCGCCCTCAAAGGGTTATTGACGTTGGGTTTACTACCTGAACCAGGAATTGCAAAGACTTTTAGGCCAATGTAGCTCATCTTTAAAAATAGCTGAATTGTATTTTTTTTCCAAGTTCACAATCTTTGCCGAAATCTTGCAATTCCGATTTCAGTTTGCTACAGTTCAGTGTTTGATTTGTTTTAATTACTTCCTTATTCTTAACACAAACACACCGAGAAATTAATTATCAATTAATTTCTGTCCCTGATAATCATACATTGTTATTTACTGAAATGGATATTGTTACGAATTCAAAATTAATTTCAAAGTTATGTCCAAAGTACCTGAGTTGTAAAAATGAAGCCATGTTTGTCGCTTATTTTGACCTCACATCTGAAATTCAGTTTGAATTTCGACCAATTTCCCTTTATTGAATAACCCAGTGAGTGTCATATCGGTTGTCATTTGTCCCAGTGTGTTAGGCAGCCTTATTTACCTCGTCACTGTCACACTCAACTTTTTAAAAACGCTCAGAGTTTTGTTTTTAATTAGCATTCACTCTGTAAAGTTTGTACATAAACACTAAAATCAGCGTCAATGTGGCTGATGGTAGACGTATGTCAAATTACTCTGGGTAATGGTGGACAAAAAAAAAGAGGAGAATCTTTTGAAATAAACCATTACTCCTGTTACTTCAAGTAAGATGCTGCATAAGGTAAAGTAGTCTCTACTTAAAGGAACACTATAGAGTTAGAAATGCAAACACGTATTGCTAATTCTATATTGTTTTCCTCCCTATTTAGATTTTTAGGCCCTCCTAATTGTAATAAAAAATAAAAAGGTTTTTACTTAACATTTTTCCATTGCCAAGACTCACCCGGTGTCATCCTGCAGGCGTTACTTCTTGGCTTCTTGTCCAGTCCATTCGTCTCAAAGAGAAGCATTGGAGATGAGACTGCCTCACTCATCCAAACAAAAACTTTGAATCAGAAGCTTTCCTGTGATAAGTATTTTATGGCGTTCAATATCCTTATGCAATGCAAGAGGCCATCGAACCTCACATAATCGAGTCAAGCTCCTTTATGAGTCAGATGCTTCTTGGCCAATAGGAGTGTGTTTAACACTGCAATCAAACCTTTCCGCATCTACTAAGCAACAATGTTATAGATTACAGGGATACAATTCCAGGGGCACTGCACCAAGACTGCTTCATTGAGATGAAGTGGTCTGCGTGCCTTTTAGTGTCCCTGTAAAAAAAAAAAAAAAAAAAATTTTAATAACAGATCGCTTTAAAGGACAACTGACATTAAATTTTCACTTCTCATTTTTTAAGTTTATTACATTTAATGAATCTTAATGATATATTTTTTTTTAGTCATGTACCGTATATACTTGAGTATAAGACGAGTTCTTCGGCACATTTTTTGTGCTGAAAAACCCCCACTCATCTTATACTCGAGTCAATGTTTGTATTATGGCAACTTACATTGCCATAATACAGACAAGGCCTGCCGGGCTCGTTACAAGCCCGGCAGTCCTGTTGGGGGTTGGCAGAGAGCTGTAACTTACCTTTCCTGCAGCTCCCTTCTCCTCCGGTCTGGTCAGCTCCCCTGTCAGCTCCACTGTAAATCTCGCGAGAGCCGCGGGGTCAGAGCGTTGCCACGGGTCACACACTTGCAGTGGAGCTGACAGGGGAGCTGACCGGACCGGAGGAGAAGGGAGCTGACAGGAGCTGCAGGAAAGGTAAGTTACAGCTTGCTCCCAGCCCCCCTCCTACACAGCCCATGGCACTAGACCACCAGGGAATGAGAGCCCCCCTTCCCTGGCCATGTATCAAGCAGGGAGGGGGGACAAATAAAAATAAATACAAATTTAAATAATAATAAAATAAAAATAAAATAATAATATTAAAATAATAATAAAACTAAAATATGAATAATATAACAAAAAAAATTATAATAATAAAAATGCCCACCCCCCACCAAGGCTCTGCATCACACACACTGCATTCATACACACACACACACACACACACACACTGTAAATAAATATTCAATTAATATCATTTTTTTGGGATATAATTTTATTTCGAAATTTACCAGTAGCTACTGCATTTCCCACCCTAGTCTTATACTCAAGTCAATAAGTTTTCCCAGTTTTTTGGAGTAAAATTAGGGGTCTCGACTTATATTCGGGTCGACTTATACTCGGGTATATACGGTATATTGATTTTTTTTTAAAATACATTTTACTTTTTTATGTGGCTGAGCAAAAGCACGCAACTTAGGCGGAGTTAAATTATATTAAATGAAATAAAGTTTTCAAAAATGAGAAGTGAAAATTTGACGACATTTCTCCTTTAAATTCAAAGCCACATTCCCCTGAGAGTACTTGCTCCCTCGGGCTCTGTAAACTAGCCCAATTAATCTGTCCGTTCTTGACTTGTGCGTGAGTATCAGGAGCACATAGGAGAGCAATCCTAACTTATCCAATGGAGAACCAGCTATGTTAACACACTATGAGCACACAAATAAAATAAAGAAAAAGTGTGTTTAAAATTAAAGTGAATGCATACTGTCCCGCCCCCCTCACCCTCCAAAAACCTGTAAAGACAGCAGTAAAATGTAAATCATATTTTGTTTGGGCATACAATATGCAAGCTCACATTACTTTCTTTCTGAGAAAGGGACCCCCTGGACTGTAAGTGGTGGGATAGAGAGGGATACTATGTTGCAGAGATGGGATGGTATAACAAGAGGTGTAGAGGGGAGGGCACTCACCCTTCGCAGAAGGAAGGCTAGGAACAGGTTGTCACTTTATCTACTCATCTGAGAGTAGTGTCCTAAGTGCCCCTTCTTCAAGATGGCTGCGGTGTCCAAGGATGCGCTGATTGGGATGTTGCAGGCTTACCTGGCATCCAATGGAGTGGGTTCCCTGTCGGAGGTGATGGCCGGTCTTCCACAGGAGCTGACAGGAGTGGAGCAGCGGGCGGCAGAGAGTCCATCTCTGGCCAGTGGTGAGTTGTCTCCGTTGGGCATGCATGTCCCAGTGGAGACACGTGACAAGGTCCTCAGAGGGGAGTTTGTGGACTTTCTTTTGCTAGTCCCCCCTGAGAAGTACTCTGTGGATAGGCCGCACCGTGGAGATCCACAGAAAACTGATTAAAAGTAAACAGCTCCCACTTTCCTTTGGGAATTGGTTACAAGGGTTTGTGGTTTTTGCGAAAATAGTGACCTGTCTGTTTCCGTAGCGAGCGCCGTCGTTATTTTGCTATTTGGACCTTATTTAGGGTGCTTATAAGGTTTAGGGGGGGGGGGGGTTCAGAGCTGGTTTTGCTATTACCAGCAGTTCAGACAGAAGATTGCAGCATGTCCGGGATTGGACTTTGGCACTCAGGACAGCAGCTTATTGCTGTTGCTCATGACTCCCAGTCGTCCCTCTTCCGCCACTGCAGGTGGTTCTCCTCTTGCAGGTTTACACATGAGTGCTCGCATTGTGCTGGCCTCATCCCACAAGTCGATGCTTTAAGAAGGCAAAACAAACATTGCCTAAGTCTGGGGCTTGGGAGGACGGGTCTAAAGGAGAGGACACCAGTGAGCGTGGCAAGGATGTTGCCGTCTCGAGCGCTACCCTAACCGCCGCGACGCTGCAGTGTTGGGGGAAGGGTTTTTAGATAGTTTTTGAACCCCTTTGTTTTTTTGCCGGAGCCACGTTTTGCTGATAATCTGCAGTCAGTTTGGGGTAAGGAGGATATGCTGGGTGACAAGTTGTCCAAGGAGACATCGCTGGGGCGCATGGCTGGGCCTTTTGATTTTCTCCCCTTTCCTAACCTGCGGGTATCGCCCTTGGGGTTGGTGCCGAAAAAGGAGTCTGGGTCCTTTTCGTATGATTTATCACCTGTCCTACCTTGCTGGGAGTTCGGTGAATCATGACATTGACAAGGAGTTCAGTAGGGTTTGGTACGCCTCCTTCGATCGGGCTTTGTCAATGGTTAAGAGAGCGGGAGTGGGGGCACTCCTGGCAAAATCTGACATTGAATTGTCATTCGGTTGTTACCGGTTTACCCGGAAGGACTTTTCTTAGGGATAGAAATTGACATGGTGGACATGTGTTTTTTTTTGTTTGTTTTTTTTTTTTGTCTGCCAGATGAAAAGCTCATTGTGCTGCTGAGGCAGGTTGATCTGGTGAAGTCGGTGCGGCAGGTTCAGCTGCGGACGATGCAGTTATTGCTGGGTCATCTAGCTTTTGCTTGCAGGGTTCTGCCTATGGGTAGGGCTTTTTGTCGTCGCTTGTCATCGGCGACGGTCGGGATCAGGGAAGCACACCATTTTATTCAAGTGACGGCTAAGCTGCGGGCTGACCTGCAAGTATGGATTGCCTTCCTAGGTAAGTACAATGGGCGGTCATGCTGATTGCATGAAGCGGTGTCTAATTCTCAGTTGGACCTCTTCACGGATGCATCAGAGCTGGTTGAGTTTGGGGCCTTCTTTCAGGGTTAGTGGTGTGCAGCAGCGTGGCCTCTGGCAGTTAGACGTTATGTGTAACCTAACATTTTTGGAACTTTTTCCCATAGTGGTGGTTCTGGCGGCATGGGGAGAGTATCTTCGGGATCATGTGGTGGTTTTTCACATGGACAATTTAAGTGTTGTCCATGTGATTAACCGTTCATCGTCTTTGTCTCCTCCAGTTCTGTCTCTCTTGCGACATCTAGTGCTGCTAAGCTTAAGGTTCAATGTGTGGATGCAGGCACAGCATGTCCTGGGGGAGTTAAACGTAGTGGCTGACTCTCTTTCTCGGTTTCAGTGGGACCGGTTTCGGGAGTCGGCTCTGCAAGTGGATTGCGAGGGTCTTCTCTTCCCTTCCTACTTATGGGACCTGGTTTCAGAGGCTTGGTGTCCAGGTCGGTATGGTTAGGTGGGTTGTCTCTCATGAATGGGTCGGTTCGGCTGTCATCTGAGACTGCCCGGTTTGAGGTTACGTTGCAGTATTTGAATAGGTTACTCGAGCAGGGTCACTCTTGCTCAGCGGCAGAAAAATCATTGTCTGCTCTATCATCCCTGTTTAGTTTTTTGGGATGAAGAGACATTGCCAAAGAGTTTTTGCTTTCAATGCATTCTGCGGGGCTGGAGGAGTCGGAGGCATCCATATCCGTGAATTTGCTGTGGCAGTTAATGGCGGCATTGCCTAGTGTTTGCGGCTCGGATAACGAGAGTCTTGTATACCAGGTGGCATTTGTTGTTTGTTTTTTTGGAGCCTTACGAATGGGGGAGCTAGTAGCCCTCAATCACTGTTCGGTTGGCCCATTGTTATCGGATGTGCGTGGTCTGATAGTTTTGGGGACTTACATATTCGTAGGTCTAAGACTGATCAGTCCGGGAGAGGTCTCTAGCTCTGGGTGGGTAATACTGGGGGTGAATTTTGCCCGGTTCGGCTGTTTTTAATGTTTTCTGGTGTTTCGGCCGTTGTCGGTCTCGCCATTGGTACACGCAGGTGGGTCCCCGCTTACGTGGTTTCAGTTCAGGTTGGTGCTCAGGAAAGTGTTGGTGGCTTGTGGGCAAGATCCTACTGGTTTCTCTCCTCATTCTTTTCGTATCGGGGCTGCGACGCAAGCTAGCGTCTTGGGTTTTAGCCGTGCAGCGTTTAAGTAGATGGTCATCCAGGAAATATCAGCTGTACAGCCTCATTTGTTGTGATTTGTTTCAGGGTGTTCTCCCCGCTATGTATGGATATTGGGACATTCGTTTATCTATTGGGCAGCTCGACGGGCAGAGTCACGTTCCTATGGATGTAACCTGGGGATTCCAGCAGAGTTGGCGAGGGTTCACTGGAGGGGTATTCGGGGGTTGTCATGGAAGCAGGTTTACCCGGAGTGCGTTGCCCTTAGCAGGTTCGTGTCAGGGTCTGGACCATTTTGATCCATACAGGAGGTAATGTTCTAGGCAGGGTTAGGACAGTGGATTTAGTGCACTCTGGAAAGTGTGACTTGGCACGGTGCTTGGCATTGTTTTCGGAGTGTACTTTAATATGGTCGAAGATTGTTCCCCGTCCATGTTGGCAAGCCTTGCCACATGCCAGGAGTTTGGAACGGGGCAGACTCAAATTCAGTGTCACTATTTCCAGGTGTGGGTGTCGACTCAAAACACCTAAAGCTTACAATGTGATCTAATTTTTTTTAATTTTTTTACAAAAAGTGCAGATTTCAATAGCACTCTGCCTTGGTGGTGTTTCGATCCGACACATGGAGCTGGAGGGGGAGAATCGCAGCTTAATGAGGGCGGATGGAGTGCACCTTAATCAGACTGGCTTGGATATTTTTAATTTGGGTCTACAAGCAGGAATAGAACAGGCGCGGTCTGTGGGGGGTGCGGGGCCGGCAGAGGGGAATTAGGGCCGGCATTGCGGTGGAGGAGTTCCTGGCCAGCGCAAGTAATTCACGAGACAAGGCTTGGGGGAGTCACAGCCTGCTAGGGCTGATGGCGGAAGGCAGGCTGTACAAACCCTGGAAATACACTGTTTTATATGTCTGTTGGGTAGCCCCCACACCAGCCGACAGGTGGTGATAATGCTGGCAATGTTTAAAGTTAAATAAAGCTGTGGCCTTTGCCCTTATCCAACACTCAGGCGTCATGTCATTATTGGGGGTAATGGGAATGTAATTTGGTCAGCAGTCAGGTACTAGAACAGGTGTGCCCAAAAAGGTAGATCCCCAGATGTTTTAAAACTGCAAATTCCACGATGCTCTGCCATTCTAAATGCATTCCAAAGAAATGCAAAGCATCATGGGAGTTGTAGTTCTACATCTGGGGATCTCCCTTTTCGGCAGCCCTGTCTTAGACGGTAGAAGGCTGTTTACAGAAGCAGATCTGAAGAGTTTTGCTATTTTGGCGTAATATGTGCAATTCCATTGCCCGTCCCTGGGATATTGAATAAACCCCCAATATAATGTGATCCTAAGAATCACAACACACTTTTATTTTTTTGTGTGCTCCTTTTGGCAGGGTCCCCTTCGCCTAATGTTAGAATGAATGGTTTGTCTAGTTTTATTCATTGTACTGCGCTGCAGAATATGTTGGCTCTATATAAAGAATTCTAATAAATAAAAAGTTCCATTGCCTTCCGTTAATGTCAGATTTCACCAATTTGGACAGCGAGGATCTGTCTGTTCCTGTGATCTGGAAGGAGGTGGTAGGAGTGCAGTCAGCGTTACATAACAATAGATGGAGAGGAGCCTGGGTCTCTCAGCAACAGATTAGCAGGCACGAGGATGGAGGCCAGCAGATGCTCCCAGAGAGAGCACTCTGTGTAGCCTGGGGCAGATCTTGTTTTCAGCAGCACCTGGGCTTGTTGCTTTGCCGCAGCTCTCACAGGAGCGAGGGAGCAAGGTGTCATACGAGCATTGTTCATGGGAATCAGATTTTCAGTGATGGGGCTTATTCACTAAACACTGAATTGGAAACATTTTTAAACTCACCTATGGTCACAGTTTGTCTGTTTTAGTCTACAGTTTGCAATTTAGTTTTCAATTCACTACAATCTGGTATTCTTTTGAAAGTACAGGATAACCTAAAAACACTTATTAAACCATTATAGTACATACACTTCCTCCAATCTATACAGAATGTGTCTATTGTCCAGAATATCACACAGTGATGCTGTTTATTCACAAAAAATTGACAAGAAGTTTTCAATATCAGCTATATGTGCCAAAATGTGGCAATCCTCTTGTTAGTCCCTTTTGGTCCCTGTCTGCTGTCCACGAATTCTCTTTTGGTGACGAAAAACCATGTCGGTATATGGACAATTGCTTATACCACTAGGCCTTTAGGCTGGCTGAGCACCATGGGAATATAGTTCATACACATCTAGGACGCCAAGCTCAGCCACCACTGGGCTAAGAAGGCAATCTACCTTTTGTAATCCACTAATTTTCCTTTGATTACATCCACAAGTGCACTGTTTACTTCTAATATACCTAAGAGATCACTCTCATTAGGATAAAAATGTCCTGGAGCTCTGCATTCTCCCTTTGATAATACAGAGCGTTGGATATCATTAAAGGGACATTCTGCGCACCATAACAACTATAGCTTATTGTACAGAATTTTATATTAAAGCTAATTGGGTTGATTATGGTGGCCTTCAAGTTTGTTTGTTTTTTGTCAACACACATTTTCAAACAGTTTGAAAAATAAATAAATAGAAACCAAGGGGAATGCCACTACCCTAAGCCCTCCTACTTAGTCTCTGATGTCATAATAAAGAATTTCTCTTCCTCATTACCTATACACATATTTGGATAGTGTGAGCATGCATTGTGTACTGACACTGTGCTATTATGAACTGAAAGTGGCTGTAGCAGATTATTCCTAATCTCTTCAATATTGGTTGCCAATTCAGTATTAAATGAACATTCAAAACACTGAAAGCACTTTAGCTTGCAATGTGATTTTTGTTTTTGTTTTTTACAAAAAGTGCAGATTTCAATAGAACTCTGCCTTTTTATGAATTAATCTTGTGACACACCCCAGGCTGTCAATCAGATAACCGGTCCTGTAACTTCCTGGTTTGGTTAGCTCAGTGGAGATAAACTCAAAAGGCAGCAATTGCCCAGAGCACCTGTCTTGCAAATACTTCTCATTGAGCTGCATTGGGAAGTCTGTGATTGGACAGTCACAGAAAGTCTGGGCGGGGTTAGAAGGGGAGGGATTGCTAAGGTTGCAGACAAGAGAATTGCAGCTATGCAAGCTGCTTTTAGATATATCCCTAATGAAAAAATGAAAAATTAAATACACGTGTTTTCATTGGGTGTATATCTACTAAATAGTGATTTGTATTTTTGCATTTTGGCTGTGGAGTGTCCATTTAATTATTCAGCTCTCAGCCTAGCATTAAGTGGTGCTCAGAGCAAGCCTTTATTTTTTTTTCTCAGCAAAATCCAAGCTGAGCCAAGTGACCATTAAAGGATCTCTGTTAACAAAGCAGATTAACAATTAAAAATGTTTTACGCCCCTCCCGTGCATTTACCTATGTACAGCATGCATCCCTACCATCTTTCAGCATGGAACACCACGCACATTACCTACGCCCTCCTAGGAATTTACTCGCACAATCTTTGATTAGACATGAGGGGGATAATCCTGACTCTAATAAAAAATGGGTGGAAATAGTAACTGTGCTGTTATATATGTTACATAATGTTACATAATGGCTATTTTACTTGTACTTCATACATGTTCTTCCTTTATGCACATGATGTAAACTGATTTTTCTTCTTGCATACCCACAAAAAAAAAATAAAAAAAAAAAATGTTTTACACCAAGTGCTCTTGAAGTGCCTATTTGTTCTTTGATTGCTTTAGAGTGTCTGTATTATATAGCACAGTTATTGGGCCACAGACCATGATTTGAATTCTGCTTTCTGACAAATGCTGCCATGGTCGTAGAATTGGCCGGACTGTCCTCCAATAATATACTTTACAAGCTCGTAGTAAGATTTTTCCTGAGAACCCACACTGATCGTGGGATCTGTCCAAAGCTTATTCCCCATGATCAGGGGTAGAATGTGCACTGTCACCCAGGCCACCAGCATCCTGACCAGTGAGGGCCCAGATTGGCTTGGATAATACACCAGACTCAGTACACACGGAAAGCCTCTGTTGCATATAAAGCCCTGAGGTCCCGGCTGTCAGTTGCGTGTGAACTTTTTTTCCTGGTTTATGAAAAGCAGTGTAAATAATTTACATACATTTCAGCAAGTTCACAGGAAAAAAAATATATTTGTTTCCTGTTATATCACCTATTGCAGCCCTCTCTCTGCCTATCCCACCCGTCTCTGCCACGCTACCCTCTTTTTCAGATCTATTGCCCCTTCTGCAGCCTCTTTGCCCATTTTGTGCCATCTCTGTACATGCTACCCATTTACCACATTTTACCCTCTTTTCCCATTTTATGGGTTTTTGTTTACTCCTCTGAGCCCATTCCATTCCCACTTTGCCTTTTCTGTGCCCACTACAGTGCTTCTTTGCCTATTCTACCAAACAGACCATTCTACCACTCATTTGATCACATCTTTGTACATTGACTGACTTTGCTTGTTCTGCCCCCTCTTGGCTCATGTTTTCCTTCACTTCTGTTTGTTGAAAACATATAACGATCAACCCAGTACCCAAACCAGAAAATCCAAATGCAAATTGTTATCTTGCATGATTCGGCTCGGAAATGGCTTTCATGCAAATATCATGCTACGCTGCAGGCAGATTTAGACTGCGGTTGACTATAGATGTCTGGATGTGTTTTTTTGCAACCTCATAGACAATTCCTATATCACATGCACATAAGACTTAACCTTTAAGGAGAAAGTGGGACTCGTTGATAAGGATGCAGAGAGAGGGGGTGATTGGCAATAGAAGGGGGTCTATAGGAGAACCCCCTGGTTTGTGTTTTCTTGAGACTTACAGGACCTGTGCTAGTTTCTTTGTTCCATACTTTTTATAAATCACATGTGAGAAGCACAGTGCTATTGTCAGTGACTTCTCTACAGTTTGTATTGGGGCCATTTGGTCCCACCGACACTATAGTTTAGTTTATTTCTTTCATTTGGATGTGACCCTGTAAGTACATCTGATCTCCTGGTTTAATGAGGTTTGCATAGATGGCTAATTATAAAGCTATGTCTGACTTTAGACACATTTTTTTAAAATGCCAGAAGAACAGTTACCTCTCCCCATCCAACCAATAATATTTCTTCTACTTTCCACTTACGCCATCAACTCTCATTATTACAGATAAAGTGAAGTTATATTTTCATTTCATATACTGTACATTGTGTTATTTTTTTTTTCTATATGAATTTATGCATGCAAGGTGTTATTAAACTGTAGAATTTGTGTTAAAATGCTGTAATTTGGGGGGGTCTAGGACGGATTAATCAAATTTACATAAATTGTTATGGGAAATGTTAATTCTGCTTTCAAACAAATCGGAACTCGAACAGCCTTCTGGAACTCAAATAGCCCACTGCAGTTTCTTCTAGGTCTTAATCACCATCTAAGGGCCCTAGAAATGTTAGGTAGGGATTTCACTCATAGTTAGAGAAGGTAAAGACTAACATAAGAGATATTCTGGGTGTTCATAGTGCACAACCTCATGATAGACTCTTTTGTTGTTGTTGTCCCTTTATTTAGGTCCCTTACCTTTTGCATCTGTATTTGTTGCCCATTATCTGGTAGAAGATAGAGCGAGAAAATGCATAGTAACTTTTTATTTATTTATAAAATATTTTACCAGGAAAGATACATTGAGATTTCTCTCGTTTTCACGTATGTCCTGGGTCCACAACACATTGCATTGTTACATTAGGGTGCAATAAAATATAAAAACAATATTAATACACCATATATACAAAATTTAACATAGAACAGGCAGGAAATATATAATCAACCATGACACGTGCATTCTGTTTTGAGGTATGTAGAGAGGGATCTCTTAAAGGACTTATATACTCCTAATTATCATGAAACTATCTGTTTTTTTTTTTTTTTTTTACTTTTTACATTATTTTAACTTTGTATTTATTTCGAATTAAACTATATATGGTGGTTTTAAAAGATGCAAATGAGTTGCAAAATCATTTTTCAAGCAAAGTTATCTTTTCTAGCCGCAAGGTAGAAAACAGGAGCCAGCAATTAATCATATCGCTGTTTTATTGAAGTTCGCTTCAAGCATTGCAGTGCCCTGAATTCACAAACCTCCTTTCGTATCACTATTTGTTCAGTAATCAGCAGCGCTAAGATATGTTGTATTATCTGAAATAAATATGCCATTTATTTAATTCTCCAAATAGTTTAAATAAATGAAGATAAACCCATATATTAAGCTTAAGGCTATGATAGAGTGATAATAAGTTCCCTGTAGTTCAGCTACTTCGAACATAACTGCCTCGGTCTGCTCTCTGCCGCTGGGGCTGTTGCAAGCAGAATATCGCCTTGTATTTACCATGAACACATTCCAATCTCAGAACAAACCCCCCTCTTTAAATGTTCCATATCTCAAGGTCACATTTATGGAATGATTCTTCAGATAAGGCGCAAACACAGGGATGGTAACCGGAGAATGCCATGGAACTTAAAGTACTCATAGTGGTTTATCCGCTAAACTCCCAGTTGTGGCAAACTGTAGTCCAAATGGCAGAATGCAGGCAAAAATTAAAAGATTCTCAAACTACACTACAGCCATTTGGCTATTTTAACATAAATTTAGCATTTCAGTTTTCGATTTGCTAAAATTTTGAATGTAATGAGTTTACACCTTATGGGTTAAATACAAATAAAAATATAATTTTGGGTAATTTACAATGGAATGGCACATTTAGGCTAAACTAGTCAAATCAGAACTATTTTGTGACCCCTCTCTATTTCCAGCTGTGTACTGGATAGTGTTTATTCCCATTTTAAGAATTTTCTGAGTATATTTTCCACTTCGGTTTGAAATTTGTAATTCCCTTATCAATGCACCACAATTCCCTGTTTAGTGAAATATACTGTCACAACTGGAGTCTTTTTAGAAATGATTCTGTCCTGCTATAAAACTTGCAATTGGGTAAATGTCAGCGCACCTCGTCCGTAGAAACCAGGAATTCAATTTCTCCAAATCTGTTCTTTTTCCCCAAACTCTGTTATTTGGGACTAAATATGCAATTCCCTTGTTAGTTTTCACAATGGCCCATTTATTGACTGATCCTCTGAGCACCATAACCACTGCAGCGCGATTAGCTGGCGCTCTCCACCAGTGAGCTAGGCTTAGCTCAGGAGAGGTAATGGAAGCTCCTAAACAGGACTTGTGACTCTCTGTTGGATGTAGTTAAGGCTTGTAGCGGCACCTGGCAGAGCCCAGGTTAAAAAAACGTTTGATTTCATACAATATTGGGGCCCCAGGACATAAGAAGTGTACTGTAGTAATTATGGTGTCCATAGTGTTCCTTTAAGGGATTAACAAATGGGACTTTTGATACGTTGCATTAAAAAAATCCTTATATTCTTAAACGGTTGACGATATCACAGGTTGTACTATATAGAGCTGTTCAGGATTAGTCAGATGTAGGTCACATCATATACCTGGGATGCAAATCTAAGGTAAGTAGCTAATCCACTGGAGTACGTCTGCTAATCGAGCTCATTAGAATGTGGGTATCCTGCAGGTAATTCCTTGTCTTATTGACAACAGGGCGACAAGCAGCACAGACGCCAGATCAGCTATTAACCCCTAAAGAACCAACGATATTTCAGGACTTTCGCTGTAATGAGGGATTTGCCCATCGCTGGTACGGAAGTGATTAAATGGAGATAATTATCAATATGTAAATATTTACAGTTGTTTTAATACCTGCCATAAATTATGCAGTCTACACTGTTTCTTGGACATATCAACGTTTATACAATTCTGCATTTAAGGCCCAGGTCCAAGCAGAAAGACCTACTGACCTACCTGCCTGCACAGAGAGGGTCCTCTCACAGACAGGAGACCTAATGGGCAGAACTGAAGATGTATCCCCAAAGCCTTCTGAGCTATAAGCGCTGACTGGGCATTACTCTGATGTCACGCAGCTACTCTCTTGCACTGTCAGTATCTGAGTAACTAATCAAGATGGAAGTCATACATACCACCCACTAGTGAAAATGTAACTTATTGTAAGTGTAACATGACTTACTCACACAGTTTAAGGACACATTACTATGAATTTTATAAGCTTTTATACCATAAAACACACCACAAATATGGAGCCTTTTCTATTAGGATGGAAAAGAGGGCCTTGGCCCAACATAAGGACTGTCTGTCCTACAGGTGGAAAGTTGGCAGGTATGTACACTATGTAAGTTTCTATACCTTGTCTTTTGTCCCATTGTGAGTGAGGTTTACTGAGCTCTCATGATCTGCCACGGACCCCTAGAGTTAATTCTAGTTGGCACCAGAAATAGCAAACAGGAAGAGGACTGGGAGACACTGATAACCCAACGCTGCCTTCAAACCACGACAGCAATGCAGAGACCTCCTACCCCCTTCACATAACCTCGCCACGCTCTCTTCACAAGCTGTATTTTTAGAGCAGCGCAAAAGAAGATTACACAGAGCGGCTTAGCTGGGACATGTGGGACAGAAATTCTGAATGGAGATGACACCTTCTGTGACAGATAAGAGCGGCAAGGAGATTTCCATATGTGAACACAGAATTCGTCCTCCGGTATAACGTGGGATGCCTTTTCCATGAGTGTTGCATGCCTGTGACGTTTGTTTGTGCAAAACAAAAACGCACAGCTCTGATTTCAGGGTTAAGCAGTATTAGAACCACCAGCACTTCACCGAACACACACTTGTGGCATGCCTTATAAAAAGTGCGATAACAGAAAACTGACGTAAAATTCTAATCTTGGAGCAGTCACCATGGAAACTGACAGAGTGATAAAAAAAAATGAATTGGAGAATTTTTCAAGCTGCACTGTTTTGGTTTAAATTGTACAATTTTTGTTTTCTCTTAACCTGTTTGCAGTTTAGTCTAAACAGAATGATTCCAGGTGGATTTAGAAATAGAATAGGTAATTATTTCACTAAATGTTACTTTAATCCATTATGCAATTTTTACATACTGCTCAATACATCTCACTAACAGGGTTTATTTACTAATCCTTGAATTAGAGACAACTATATATTTTACACTACATCATGGGTCGTCAACCTGTTCCCTACCGCCCATTAGTGGGCGTTTCAGGATTCCAGGTGGGCGGTAGGGATTTCCTCGTTTTTAGAGACTGAGTGGGTGCGAGCCGGCGGTACCCCTGCGACCGGGTGCCGCCGTCACCATTTGCGGCCCCGGCCCACGCAGCAAACGGCCGGGGCCGCCGTCCAAGGGGTCCATTGGGTGGCCCATGCTGTCAGGGCCACCCGATGGATGTGGATTGTGAGGGGGCCCGGTCAGCGCTGGGCGCTTTAACAGCGCAACCGGGCCCCCTGTGATTACATCACAGAGCTAGGAGGAAGTGACTGCACGTCACTCCTCCCAGCTAACACACAGACCGCGCGGGAGGAAGCAGAGGGAGTCAGAGTGGGAACTCTGACTCCCATCTACCTGAGCCACCACTGGACCCCAGGGAATGTCACCCTCCTGCACCTAAAAAGTAGGAAACAGGAGGATGACTAAAATATTTTGTGTGTGTTTGTTTGTGTGTATGTGTCTTTGTATGTATGTCTTGTCTTGTGTGTGTCTGTATATATGTGTGTATGTATGTGTGTATGTCTTTGTATTATGTATGTGTCTTTGTATGTGTGTCTTGTGTCTATATGTGTGTATGTGTCTGTGTGTGTCTTTGTGTATGTGTGTGTGTGTGCGCATGTCTGTGTGTGTGTGTCTGTATGTGTGCCTGTCTGTTTGTATGTATGTGTCGTGTGTGTGTGTGTGTGTGTCTGTATGTATGTGTGCCTGTCTGTTTGTACGTATGTGTCTTGTGTGTGTCTGTATGTGTGCCTGTCTGTGTGTCTGTATGTGTCTTTGTATGTGTGTCTTGTGTGTGTCTGTATGTGTGCCTGTCTGTGTGTCTGTATGTATGTATGTGTGCCTGTCTGTGTGTCTTTATGTGTCTTTGTATGTGTGTCTGTATGTGTGTGTGCCTGTCTGTTTGTATGTATGTGTCTTTGTATGTGTGTCGTGTGTGTGTCTGTATGTGTTTGTGTGTGTGTCTGTATGTATGTATGTGTGCCTGTCTGGTATAGTGGGCTATAGTAAGTGGGCTACCTAGCTCAGTCTTACTACTGGGCATTGCTATTAGGAAGGTTAAAAAATAGAAAAAAGGGAAAAAAAGGTGGGGAGGGGAATTGAGAAGGGAGAGGAGATGAGCTGACGCACAGATGAGAAATCATATTATGAGTAAACAGAAAAGTCATCTGAATATCACCGAAAGAGACCTTCGTTTGTTCCTTACGAAAATTGAACCAGATATCAAATATTTAGTCTTGCAGCATCAACCTTAAGGGTCTCATTAATCACTAGTAAAGGTAATTTCAATTTACTTTGTTTTCTCATTAAACTTTATAAAGTTAAAAACATTATAAACATGCATTAGGTAGAAATAAAAAGATAAATGTACGTACATTTATTTATTTTTTTGAAAACACCCTCCTTTCTAAAAAATATTCCACACTTGCGCGAAAACTGGTGGGCGGTAAGGAAATTTTTCCATCAAGAAAGATGCGTTAGTGGGCGGTAGGTAGAAAAAGGTTGACTACCACTGCACTACATAGTTGATCTGGAATAATTTTCCAATTCTGTTTTATTATTTTTCCATTTTTTTCTGCTTTGAAGTGAATTGCCAGTATATTATCTAAACACATAAATAATCAGTAGATTGTAATTGGGGGCACTGCACATTCTATTTTTTTTCTTGCAGTTTCTACAACGTCCCATGTAACACTGTCCCAGGAAGGTCTAACGTACCTTCAGGCTTCCTTAAAAGCGTGTCCCACAAAACCAGTCCAAGGTGGCTTAAATTGCTGCCAGGAGTCATGTGCTATAGTCTCCAACTGCTATTACATTTCTCAATGCCTTTCTAACTATGGTGGAAACTCATTGTTAAGAATATTTAATATATTAGCTTAACGACATGGCTAGAGGGAGTCACAGTGTTAATTGCAGCCTTAAGTGTATTGTTTGCAATTCTAAGTTCTTTTTGCAACCTGGTCTGTTGTAGAATCTTTACAGATTTATTTTAAAATGTTTATTTAAAAAATAGAAACTAATAAATGATAAATGCTACTTACATTTTTATTTACAAAAAATGCTCACTAACCATTTATTAGCAAAGTTATAAGGACACTATCGGCACCAAAACAACTTTAGCTTAATTTAGCAGTTTTAGTGTATAGATCATGCCTCTGCAGTCTCACTGCTCAATTATTTGTTATTTTGGAGTTAAATCACTTTGATTATACAGCCCTAGTCACACCTCCCTGCATGTGACTTGCACCGCCTTCCTAAACACTTCCTGTAAAGAGAGATCTAATGTTTAAATGAACACTATAGTGTCAGGAATACAAATATGTATTCCTGACACCATAGTGTTAAACTATTTAGGTCCCTGGTCACCCTTAGATCACTCTAAAGAGGTGAGTTTACTCATCTTTTCTCAACCGCTGCACCAGTCTCGCTGCGTCTGGCCCTGCCTGGCTCTGCCTCTGTGGCTAAGATCAAATTTTACATTTTCTAGTCTGTATTCATTTATATATTTTTACTTAATCTCTGAAACATTTAAAAAGTGTGGATCATCTTCTGTCTGTAGAGTACCTTTAAATTCATTTTTTTTTTAAATTAAATTGTACAAATCATAGAATCACATGGTATAAATGAGCCAAGAATTTTAAAGAAATTCTGCATAACTGATATGCTTTATTTCATACAGGCGTACGAGAGGCGCTTTCCCACATGTCCTCTCATCCCGGTCTTTTTGGGAAGTGACATCGTTCAAGAACATAAGAGTGAAGATGGATCTGTCCACGTGGTGGAGAGAATCTGTAAGCTGAACGTCGATGCCCCACGTCTTCTTAAAAGGGTAAAATTAGGAGGGTACCACCCATTCTTTCACCACCTACGATGCCTGCTTGCCGTGTATCTCACTGTCTGTTTAAAATGTATTTTTCCATCCTTTTCTATATTACCTTCTTTTTATCTCACTGTCTCCCTTTCATACATGGCACTCTACGTTATTGTTTAGCTTTCATTTGGAAATAGGGAAACCGTAAGTTTACTTTTTCACTATACATTTATTGCAGTTTTATGGGCAGAATAAGTAAATATACTAGGGAATAGGAAGAAGGTAACGCAATAAGAGAATTAATAGAAAAGGGTTTCTGGGTAAGAGGGGAAAACTAATTCGCTGATGCCAGATCAGGTTATATGTTTGTATCGTACCTTCGGAGGCATGCGTACTTTTTTCCATAGTTCATACTTCTGGGTTATCCAATCCTGAAAAGTGTGAGGAGATGATTGGTACCAGTGCAAAGTTATCAGGGCCTTAGCAACATTCACCAGAAGTAGCGTGACATGGAAATCAAGTAATGGGTATATTGGAGAAAGAATGTGTGTGAAGAGACAGGTGGCGAATGTTTGTGATGAGCAATAAAGAGGAGTAACCTTGCCTTGAGTAAGATCCGCTCCTTGGTTTCCGGACTTCTCCAACAGATACTATCTCAATGGGCAAGTAGGTTACATGCAGCCTAGCATTTAATAGAGATGGAGTACTTCAGTGTTAAAATCAAGATCAGTCAAGATCTTTTCCAGTATTCACCCATAAATAGATTCCTATTTGGATTAAATCTTAGAATTAAGGTATGTGTAGCGTGACAGTATGGCAGGATACAATATAGAGATTGCATTATGGGGAGTAGAATGTTACCTTCATGGACGACATAGTGTAGCTCTCAAGTTGAAATAGAGAGTTTGCAAATTATTTTGAGATTTTTCAAGTGTATTTAATTTGTGGATCAGGAGGTATGTCTCCTTCTCACTGAACACTGGACTACCTGATCCTTCCCTCTACAGTAAAACCATTAGAGCAGGAGATGAATAATTGCTGGAAAAATTAATACCTGGATCACATTTGCTTCACAGATTGCTGGGGTGGAGTTTGTCTTTTTTATTCAGAAAAACACCTTAAACTGGAAGGACCGAACGCTGCTAATTGAAGCTCGAAATGAGACTTTTTCCACCCGTGTCTTGGTCAACGAGACGTGCAGTTATTCAGTAAGCTCTGACTGGTGGATAAAGAGGGTTGTTAAAGGGCTACTGTCACTTCTACTGTGTTTTAGGGTGTATATATAAACAGGGAAATTACAGGTCTAAAGCTCTAAAAAATATTACAGTCTTCATAGCAACCAAGGGATTGTTTCCCATCTAGAACTTCGCCCCACAATTGGCCTTCAGTCATATCTCCTCATTTGTTGAAGGACTCTGCCTCCACTATCCATTACATCAGCCAGATTGGTGGAAGCTTTTAGTCTGAGATAAGCCTGAACTGCAGGTCTTATTTGCTGAGTGGGTTCAGCAGTTGCTCTCAACCAATGAGTTCACCCACACTCCAAGGCTTAGCTCAGAAGAGCAGAGGCACCTTAGCTTTGGTTCTCTGTCTGGTGTAGTGGAGGCAGGGAGTAGTTCCCAACGTACCCCAGGTAAGAAATTAAATTATTCTGAAATGGGATGACTACTTCAATGGGGGGGAAGGGTGTGGACCAATAAACTCATGCGCAGTAATTGCTTTTGGAATATATAGCTCCTTTTTTTTTGAGAGCGATGTATAGTGCATATACAAACTAGACTCAAAAGCTTAATTCATGGAAAACAGAAATTACTTACATTCATGTGAGTAGCTTCATCTATGTTTTTCATCAATGAAGCGTCTTGTTGCTGCTGTACTGCTCTGTCATTGAAAGCATTTATAGAACGTTTACATGTATAACATGGGGTTATGGAATAATTCCATCTGTATCATTTCTTTACAAATGAGAGATAAGAGGGTGGCGATGGGGTGTTTTTGCACTTTGTTCATTTACATTTTTGTGCCTGGAATATACATTAAATTGCTCAGTGGGGCGTATTCATTAAACTTGCAGATGCGGATTGGCAAGGAAATTTTGCTGAAAATGGTTTAGGTTGTTTACAGATCAATTATCTTGGCCGATCGTTTGCAAATTCCTTTATTCTCTACCAATCCCTGCTTAGAGGAAATATGGAAACATAATGTATAAAAAATATCTTTTAACTGCTAAACCGGTTTAAAAGATGTTAACGTAGCACAGAGACGGGTTTCGATAAACTGCTGATTATTGTCACCAGTTTTGAATGACACTTCCTCCAATCAGCATTATGACATTACTGGCTTTATAAAGTGGATACATTAGGCAGTGTTCAGTGTCTGTTTTCACCTCCGTCAGTTTGTTTATTGAAGGTAAACAAAAACCATTCTCATTTTACATTGGCCCTGAAAGCTGACACTCCATGACTTGTCTGAGGACCAGGGCAGGGCCCCTATTGCTTTATTGGGCCTTTCTGTGGCTCCCTCGTTACAGGGAGATTAATTACCGGCTGTAATATCAGTCCCCAGCGCTGATTGCTATTGTTCTTGATGAGGTGATGTATTCTTGGGATTGAGCCAAGACTCTTGTGACACGAAACACTATGGCAATAAATAAATGTCAGAGTAATTGGGATTGGTTATCAATGTGTTCTACAACTCTCTATCACGCTGAGGGCTAATGTATATCTCTATTCATGTCATAGCAAGGCTGCACTGTGTGTTTCGTCTCTCTTGCTCTGAGATTTTAATGCCTTTTTGCTTAGTGGTTGTCTCATGCAATAATACCTCCCAAGTGTCCTTGTTTAGGAGGGCCAGTCCCTATTTTGGGGTGAAATTCTCATTATCTCTTCTAATATCCATCTTTTCGATGAGCTCCGTATTTATATTATACACCCAGACATGTGTTGGTGTGTCTGAGTGTATCACAGAGTTCCACAGAAATAAAACCCTTAGTAATATGTTTTTCAACTTTGTCAACTTATAAAAATCTAAATTCTATTTCCAGTCCCATAAATGGTTATCACTAAGTGGTCAAGTTACCTAAAAAGTTCTAGAATAACCCACCCCTGGTCACACTCCTTAAAATGTCAATGTCCTCGTTGGGCAATTGAAATTATAGGAGCTATGTGCAGGGGGGCAGTAATATCTGTGCATCTATCGCTCTTCTCCACCACCCATTAGTTGTTGAAGGCTGCAGGCTATGACATCATATGCTTGCGTATTCAGCTGTGTGCAGCAATATTCTAATTGCTACCATCCTCTAGAGCAGTGCTTCTCAACCCTCTCTTCAAGGCACACCTAACAGTCCAGGATTTAGGGATTACCCGGGTGTGTCTAAGGTGTTTAGAAAAAGAAAAAAAACACTTTAGAGTCTAAAGTGCTTTTAGTTTTTTTTAAACACCTTAGACACACCCGGTAATCCCTAAATCCTGGACTGTTAGGTGTGCCTTGAGGAGAGGGTTGAGGAGCACTGCTCTAGAGAATGGTAGCAATTAGAATATTGGTTGGGTACCAGTAAGTCAGATGCTCGACAGTGTTGCACAGAGCTTTAAAAGTCATGTCCTGGTTACAGCGGTGCCCCCTATAACTTTTATCGTTAAGCTTTGATAAACTATTGGTATTGTGTTCGGAAGTGATTGCATTTTTATTTATCAGCATGTCCAAAGTCGATTGTGGCAATTTATAATACATGTAAATGGCTCCCTCTAGTGGGCATATTGCAAATCTATTTATTTTATTTTTTAATTATGCTATGAGACACACAAACGGTACAAAATGTTTACAGGATTAAATATTTGGGCTTACACAAACAAACAATACTACAGGTATGGTTTGATTGTAGATACGATAAGGAAATGACATTCTCAACGTATGCTTTTATTAGCACTAGGAGAATATGAATATGGATTGTGTTTGTCTATTTTAAGTGGAAAACTGCATTTTCAGGAGAGTTATAGGAATTGGGGCTAGCAAACAAAATGAGTGTGTGTTTTATTTGGGGGTATATCCACTAAACAGTCAAAGAAAATTTAACAAAACCTTTTTTATTCTGTTGGGGCTATGTTGTTGGAGTGCAAGGGTTGTTGTTTTTTTGCATTGTACTTACAAAGTTTGTAACTGGGCACCCAATGACCAACACTAAAGTGAGAATTGATTTGAATTCAAAGTGAATTTCAAATTTCAGACCAAAATAGCCAAACTGAAAACAGATTTGAGTTCTTTACTCGACTATTTTGGCCTGGATTTGACTAATGCCTTAGCAGTGGATAACTCTTCCCTGTTTTGCTGATCCCAGTACCTGATATTTTTTTAGACATCTAACACGGATACAGCCATGCTTTTAAAATGTTAATGTTGCCATCAGCTCTCCAAACACAGAAAACGAAATACATATTAACAAGAGAATACATAAGAAAGCTTAGTAAAATTTTATTTTTAAACACTATAAAATAAAGAAGTAATAAAAATTGGCAGCATGCATCCACATTGATCAATATTGTTTCAAAGCGGATCTGTAACTTTTTTTTACATGGTCCATTTTTTTTAGTGTGGTTTTTTTTTCATGATGTTCTTCCCAGAGTTATACATAAAGAAAAGTCGGGTCTACGTTTCCTTATGTATAACCTGTAGGATGACAAACGTTAACAAAGGATGGCGCTCCAGTGAAGCAATTTTCGTATGTACTTCGGCACTCACCAAAGGGAAAATTCTTAGTGAATTTCTACAAATTATCCCAAAGTGAGCTACATATTCACTTGTCCTATTTTTCCCTAAAAAAAAAAAAAAATTATTTTGAATTCCCACAATTTACACTTTAGTGATATTTTCCTTTGCGATTTATTTTTGCCTTGAATCATGTCTGTGACAACTCAATAGTGTAACTCATTTCAATTCTAACATCTACACATTCGGCTTTCAGGTTCACCCAGAAAACGAAGAATGGACCTGTTTTGAACAATCTGCTTCTCTTGACATCAAATCTTTCTTTGGTTTTGAGAGTACCGTAGAGAAAATTGCAATGAAGCAATACACCGCGAACATCAAGAGGGTCAGTACAGCTCTTTCCAGCACATTTGCCAGCTGGAACATAGATTAAGTAGGATTTTCTTTTGCAACAATATTACAATTTACTAAATCTTCCCCTTTTCTGTCAATGTCACTTCCTTCTCTTCCGACTAGTTTCACTAAGTTAGCAGTGACCAATACTAGCAACTAAGAAAATAGCATTTCAGGAATGTTTTTTAAAATAAATAAATAAAATCCTTTATTTTTATAAAAAAAAAAATTTCTTATACATTGAGAGTAAGAGTGCCACCTTCAGGTGAAATTGAGAGCTGATTTTACTTCTCATAATATTTAAGCCCTTGCTAGATTTTAATTTAGCTGTTTTGCTAGGCTTTGCTTGAGTTGGTTTGCAAGTCTTTTCATATTGTACAACAAGTTTTAAGACAACGAATTGTTAATGTGTAACATGTGTTGCTGTTTGTCATTGAGGCCTGAAAGCCATTTTTTACATTTATTAGAAGAGTTTAACGTTCACGTTACTTGGGTCTTCCAGGGTAAAGAAGTTATCGAATTTTATCTGAATGAGTTGATATCTCAGGGTACCACCCACCTCCCAAGATGGAATCCTGGTTCACATGGTAGAAATGAGCATGCATCGTGGACTGCGTCGGGGATCACAGCGCAGAATTCAATGCCAGCTCTTGCAGAGTCCTCTGCTCAGGGTTCTACCAGAGTAGATCTAGCAATTCCAGGTGCAGAGACAAGTGCCTCTGATGGTAAGTCAAAATTGCCATCATCACCAATTCCAGAAACTACCACTAATTCCAACATATACATGTCTACTGGATGTGGTAACATTTAAAGTTGTTTTCTTATCCCAATTAATTTTCAGGTATTGTGGTTGGTTTATAGGCCTGAATTTGTCTAAAATTTCAACAGTATATTCAGGACAAAGTCTGAGCACACAACCTTCACATTCCAACAAATGGCTGGCAGAAAATTATTACAATTTTATGGTCTAAAGTTAGCTGGACAACGAAGGTTGGACACCCCTGCTCTAGAGAATTTATCGCTTATTAAAATATTTGTGGCAGCATGTTTACACGAGAAACATTGGTCTTAAAGCATATCCATCGCCTTCTAATAAAGTTACTATGCTTAGAACCAAAGTGGTACATTCCATGACTCCCATGATCTAGGGATAGACCAGTAACTAGAATATGGACCACCAGCTTTTATGGATTACATTTTTGGGTCATGTTCAGCCACCTGTTTAGCTTAGCCAATACATTTCTGCAGTCCACAACTGTTGGAATGGCACATCTTAAACATAACTTGTCTAGGCGATGGTAATGGTGTTGGCGGTACAGTTCTAGCTTCTGGCTAACCAAGAGTTATGATTGTTACTCAACAGGAGATGAAGAACAGATACTGGACTGAAAGACTGCTATATGTTTATTTTGTGTTTTATTGTCTTCTTCAGCTGATAAACTAGAGGCTGATTATATAGAACGTTATTTGGGCAAACTCACTCCAATGCAGGAGAGCTCTTTAATCCACCTCCGACAATGGCTGCAAGAAACATATAAAGGAAAGGTAAAAAGATTTTTTAAAACACCTTTAAGTTAAAAATGGACACCCCTTGCACTATGGCCGATAACTACTTAGTAAGATTTTCTTTACGAAGTATTAGTATGCTTCCCAACAGTCTTGATTTTTCGCCCTTTCCCTCCGTACCGACTTTGTTCCCTGATGTTGCGCTTTTGGGGGCACCAGGGAACAGTCCCCAAGAAAGCTAAGTGTGAGCGCACTATTAGACGCGCTTGCGCTACACTCGGCGCACTAGGACTCTGCAGAGAGACCGAAACAGTGTTTCCTGCATGGTATGTCCTTAGTGGGCTGGCCTGCTTGATTGTAGGGATGCCTGGCATGCCTTTAAGGAAGGCTGACTTGCCAGTAATTCGGGTGGACCTGACCCATTTAGACAGAGCTAGTGGCGTAAATACGTCACTGACCCACCCCTTTTCCCTATCCAACCAATGTCTCGCTTCTCAGGACGCTGATGTTGGGATTATGGGTTAGGACTCCAGTGGCAACATTTCAAATATCAGAATGTTAAGAAACAATATGGAAACTACAGAGGCGTTGCCAAAATAAGGGCCTATATAATCTTCATCCTTTTGAAGTCTGGGACTTGTGAGGAACTGTCAGGATTATTCATTCAGTATAGTCTGGATTAGCAAACTTTGGTTAAAATGATCAAACTAAATTTATTTGCAATTTTTATAATTACTTAAGGTAAATCCGGTTGAAATTCATAATCAACTGGTGTCTGCTTTAAGATAAGTAATTGTCACATGGATTCTAAAGAAAATGTAGGATTCACATTTATCAAATAACATTTTTTTATCTGAATTTACTTGGAAGAATTCCAGTAGCAGCTAATTTCACCAAATAAATTCACTGGATTTTTGCAGATGGATCTACATGCATGCGCTATATTTGCCCACTGACAGCGCAGACAAAGGGTTAAAATAAAATAAAAAATATATAAATTTAAGAAAATAATATACAAAGAGTGGATAGTTGCCAATTCTGCTGAATGTGGAGCATTCAGGTTCGTATTCTGATCGTTCAGTTCTGCATTTCATCTGCTTTGATTGATTGCATCTAGACAGAGGGAAATCCAGACTACATTCATGTTAATTCATAGTCAGTATTGCAAAATCGAGACATCGATGCTGTCCTCTTGTTATGTGTTAAACTGGTTTCAGCTGTGACACAGCCACTTGCTGTCCGTATCGCTAGCGGTATCCATTCATAACACTGATATTGCTAATGCGAGAGTCAAACTAATGAGTTGACATTATGAGTAGGAAGTGCCTTAGCCGCAGCCACTTGGAGGACCTTCAATTTGAGTTAAATCTTTCAAAACCGGTTTGACACACACCCAGATTACATCCCTAGGGGGCATTAGGCTCTAGTGGCTGTGCTGTTCAGAGTGTCTCTTTAAGTTTCCATGAGTGAGCACACACGAGTAGTGTTTGTCATGTTTCAAGCAATGAACATTATTGGTTGCACAGTACCAGCTCTCTCCTTAGTGTTCTATTTTCATACATTAAACAACTTACACTAATTAAGAAGGTCTTTGTGTCAAATCACAATGGTCTCATGAATTTCTGCTGGTTATAGGTTTCAGATGGAAACTAGAACTAGCGGCATTAGTTAGCCATCTAAATCCACGAATGAAGACCCCCCCTTTTTTTTATTCTCACCCTGTACTGATGCAGATCCCCAAAGATGACCACATCCTGCGCTTCCTCAGGGCTCGGGACTTCAACATGGAAAAGACTCGGGAGATGCTCTGCCAGTCCCTATCCTGGCGCAAGCAGTACCAGGTGGACTACATCCTCCAGGCATGGCGGCCGCCTCCCATCTTAGAAGAATACTATGCTGGGGGCTGGCATTACCATGACAAAGGTCAGTACCCCATTTCTCTTACTAACAATGACAACTGATTTAATTACCAGAACTTGCATGTCGACTCATGCATAGAGATGGGAAGTAGACTGCTCACAGTGAATAACTAGTTCCTATCACTGCTTACGGATATTTTACCCTCTAGGCCTTGTATAGGAAAGGAATATAGAGAATGATCCAGGCACTCCAACAGGTTCCAAAATTAAGGCAGTTTATCTGAACCAGGAACTACACAGCAACGTTTCAGCCCTTAAGGGCTTTTATCAAGCTTGATAAAAGCCCTTAAGGGCTGAAACGTTGCTGTGTAGTTCCTGGTTCAAATAAACTGCCTTAATTTTGGATTATTCACTCCTTAACTGTCAGGATTATTCACTCAATATAGTCTGGATTAGCAAACTTTGGTTCCTGGTTCAAATAAACTGCCTTAATTTTGGAACCTGTTGGAGTGCCTGGATCATTCTCTATATTTACTTATTTTTGGTCCTTTCTGGGTACTGGGACTTTCCATGGAGCACCCTGGATTCCACAACGAAGGGTTGAGTGCACTTCCATTTCCATTTATGTTTGTATAGGGAGGGAAGCTAGACAGTTCATTGAAACAGCATGATTCCATACTGATAATGGACGTTTTTATATCCAATTAATGTAGGTTGTGTATAAGAATCATAAATAGATTATTCACAATAAAAGAGCATGATTCCATACTGCTAATGGATCTTTTTATTTTCCGTTAAAGGGACACTGTAAGCACCAATATAACTTTGGTTTAAGGCTTTAGTGTATAGCTCATGCCCTGCAGTCTCATTGCTCAATTTTCTGCCGTTTAAAAGTTAAATCACTTTGTTTACGCAGCCCTAGTCACACCTACCGTGGCTGAGACTCACACAGCAGCCATGGAAAAAAAAGGTTTTTGTTTTTTTCATGGAAGTTGTGAACCACTTCATTAAACTAAAGTTGTTTTGGTTCTAAGAGTGTCCCTTTAATAGAGATCTTGTATATGGTTTGGAATGACAGTCCTGATACCCATAGTGCTAAGACACCGTTTTACTTCCAATTAAAGTTTGCTTTTCTTGTTGCAAAGTGCTGGACGTGCATACGGCATTCAAAGGATTAACAGGGCTCATGCGCTGATGTTGGCTTTGTGATTGGGGTGTTAGAAACGGCTGCAGTTTTGCAGCAATCAGGCTTGCCTATGCTGGATAGATATGCTGGATACACGGAGACACTCACTCACAGTGACCCATACAGACACACTCACTCAGTGACCCATACAGTGACCCATACAGACACTCACTCACACTGACCAATGTAGACACTCACTCACAGTGACCCATACAGACACTCACTCACAGTGACCCATACAGACACTCACTCACACTGACCAATGTAGACACTCACTCACAGTGACCCATACAGACACTCACTCACAGTGACCCATACAGACACTCACTCAGTGATCTGTACAGACACTTACTCACAGTGACCCATACAGACACTCACTCACACTGACCAATGTAGACACTCACTCAAAGTGACCCATACAGACACTCACTCAGTGACCTGTACAGACACTCACTCACACTGACCAATGTAGACACTCACTCACACTGACCCATACAGACACTCACTCAGTGACCCATACAGACACTCACTCGGTGACCCACAGGGACATCTTAACAGCAATATAGGCCCCGGGCAAAGCAGTGCACTGGTCCTGCCCACACAGCTCACAGGAAAAATTTAAATTATCGTAATATTAAGCTTATATTTCTTGGTACCTCCAACAAATACATATACACAGACTGTTGAATACATTCTCAACTGCTGAATACACAGACAGACCGCCCAGCACACACACATACAGAATGCCACATATACACAGACAGTGCAGGGTGCAGTGTGTGTGTTAGGGGTGCAGTGTGTGTGTTAGGGGTGCAGTGTGTGTGTGTGTTAGGGGTGCAGTGTGTGTGTGTTAGGGGTGCAGTGTGTGTGTGTTAGGGTTGTGTGTGTGTGTGTTAGGGGTGCAGTGTGTAGTATTGTGTTAGGGGCGCAGTGTGTGTGTGTTAGGCGCAGTGTGTGTGTGTTAGGGAACACAGTGTGTGTGTGTGTTAGGGAGTGCAGTGTGTGTGTGTTAGGGGTGCAGTGTGTGTGTGTGTGTTTGAGTGCAGTGTGTGTGTGTGTTGGGGGTGCAGTGTGTGTGTGTTAGGGGTGCAGTGTGTGTGTGTGTGTGTGTTAGGAGATTTTGGTGTGTGTGTGTGTGTGTATTAGGGTGCAGTGTGTGTGTGTTAGGGGTGCAGTGTGTGTGTTGGTGTTAGTGGTGCAGTGTGTGTGTTAGGGGGGTGCAGTGTGTGTGTGTGTGTGTGTTAGCGGTGCAGTGTGTGTTTTGTGTGTTAGGGGTGCAGTGTAGCTGTGTTGAGGTGCAGTGTGTGTGTGTGTGTGTGTGGCTGTGTTAGGGGTGCGTGTGTGTGTGTTAGGGGTGCAGTGTGTCTGTGTGTGTTTGGGGTGCAGTGGAGTGTGTGTGTGTGTGTGTGTGTTTGGGGTGCAGTGTGGTGTGTGTTAGGGGGTGCAGTGTGTGTTTTTGGGGGTCAGTGTGTGTATTAGGAGTTGCAGTGTGTGTGTGTGTTTGGGGTGCAGTGTGTGTGTGTGTTTTGGGGTGCAGTGTGTGTGTGTGTGTTAGGGGTGCAGTGTGTGTGTGTGTGTGTGTTAGTGGTGCATTGGGAGAAAATGTATATATTTGTGTATAATAAATAAAAGCTGTAAGCCCCCCCCCACCCCCCCCCCTATGTTTTTGCAGGGAGGGGGGCACTGCTGGTGGTCAGTATAGTTCTGTAACCTGCAGCTCCTAGTCACACCACCCTCCCCCTCCCCTCTCTTTCCCTCTCTCCCCTCCTCCCTCTCTCTCCCCCCTCCCCACCTCTCCCCCTCCTCCCTCTCTCTCCCCCTCCCTTTCCCTCCTCTCTCTCTCCCCCTCTCCCCTAACACAGTGTCTAACAAGGCAGAGAGCCATTACTGCACACACTGCCCCCTGGTGTCCGGCCTCAGTACAGCATGGATAGCGCACCGTGCTGGCTGGTAACATTACTGCACACACTGCCCCCTGGTGTCCGGCCGCGGTATGACGTCATTCGGATCCCCGCAGCTCAGCCTGGCAGTGTTTTCCCGCGCTCTCCCGGCGGGCATTGCGCGGCCGCCA